AGATCTGTTCCTCAGGGGTCACATGGGCTTGGGGGGAGCTCCTGGCTCCTTTCTTTTACCAGTTCCATCTATGTGAAGATAAGTCAAAGGCTCTACTCGACCATGGCTGTCTTTACTTGGAAGCATGGAGGAAATATTTCCTCTGAGTTGACCCTCCTCTTTGTAGACTGGACACTGGTTCAGGTCCATCTGGTAGGGTCTCCATGGCCTCCCTGAACAAGAGGACAGGTGACTCACCACAGTTACAGGATATTTTGAGAGGTGCTCCATAGTCCCCTAGAACTTAGTCAATGTTGGTGGGCAAGGAGCAAAAATCTGTCCTTTAAGTCCCTCTGACCAGATTAGTATAGGCCTCAAAGTATGATTGTTAAGCATCCAAGAAGGTTAGTTCCACCAGTCTTGTACTTTCAATTACCATGTGCTATGTAGCAAAAAACAAATGTCAGATAAACCTTGACTAGACATATATTTTGTTCCTTAAACTAGTATGACCTTAAAAATTTTAAGATTATGTGTATATTATTTTTGCCTCACCCTTTATATATCATAACAAACCTACACAGACCTTCATCACTTGTTTGGACTTTCTCAATTTTTCTATTTTGGAAAAAGTTCCATTCCCATATCCTTTTAACATCTTTTACAGTCTCATTTTCTTTTTTGATAATTATGAGACATAACATTAACAAATAAATTTTCCATCTGTTGTGAGAATTTTTTTCCTGGGGATACTGAGCCATGCTTATACCCTTTTAAAGTTCTAGTGTCAAACCAATATTTACTTAAAGTTTTCCTGGAAAACTAATGAATTTACTGAGCTTACTTACAGAGATGACTGAGGGATTGGTGAGGTGCATGAGTGACCAGATGGTATGCACACTGGAATGCCTTTACCTAGCATAGATTAAACCTTCTCTTCCTAGCCTTCCCCAGATTATATACTTTAGCCCTCCCCAAATTCAGGAAACCATGTGTTATTAGGGCCAAATTGTGAAAATAAAAATCCTTTTAAATTCCATATTCTTTTAGTAAGATGATGCTGTACAGCAGTCTCTTCTGTGTGAAATATCTACCATCATCACGACTTCAGCTGTGCCTGATTGCTAAACATCATCACAATTGGGCTTGTTGATGGTTATGCTCCTTCATTAAACAAGGGACAAACAGAGTCATTGGACCCTCACCAGAGTGTCTAGCCACTCTTCCCAGCGAACTGTATGTATTGTGGCTCTAATCATACATGAAGTGTCTTTTCATTTTATCTGAAAATTTTAAAAAATCTGACCAGTCCAATCTTTAATGCAGGTTTCTGATTGAAATCTCTTGTGTATTAAGAAACTTGAGAGACTAGAGAGATAGACAGCTCAGCAGTTAAGAGCCCTTGCTGCCCAATCATGAGGCTTAGAGTCTAGATTCCAGCCCTTATGTAACAAATTGGGCATCCCATGAACACCTGTAACTCCTGCTTGAAGAGATCAACACTCTGGATTCTGTACACAGACACGTGAACCTACACAACATGTATACATACTCTCAGACTGACACAAACGCAAAATAAATCTTAGGAAAAGAAACTTAAAATTGCATTCTGAATCTTCCTGTGTTTTTCAAGTATTATATTTTGGTTATTCAACAGATTTTACACAATTCGCTATAGAGAAAAAGATAAAGAAAAGAAATGGATTTTTCAACTCTGTCCAGCTACTGAAACAATTGTGGAAAATCTAAAGCCCAACACAGTTTATGAATTTGGAGTAAAAGACAACATAGAAGGTGGAATTTGGAGTAAAATTTTCAATCATAAGACTATTGTTACAAGTAAGTATCTGTGTAGTCCAATAAAGCTTTTTGTGATTTTTGTTTTCCTAATTGTCTATTTTAAATCATTTTACTAGCTGTGTAATATGAAATAAGTTAATATCCAATAATGACTATGCTCTGGTATTCAAGAAAATACAAAATAAATAGAATTTTAGTATCAATATTTTAGAATATTTTATAATGCAATTTTTAAAACTAGGTAATAAACTAGTTAATGCCTTCAAGGATGCCATTGGCCACTGTAGTAGTTTAAAACATGTCTTTTATCTCTGAACCCCAGCTGAGCCAAAGAAGCAATATGCCAATATGTATAGATATTCAGAGTGGAAAGGTAGAGCAGTAGAAGTGGATCTAGACCTATTTTAGGGAACTCCAATGTTTCTTCTACTCACCTTTTTATTCATACATCATTGGAATTGATGTTTGAAAGGATAGTGGATGTAATTACATGCCTAAGAAAGAGAGCATACATAACTTGGAATTGTTCTCATGATGAGCTAGAATTGATTTAGGAGCAAGAATGAAAATAACATAATTTCCTCCTTGTTTCAGGTAAAAACAAAATAAATGGAAAAATTCAAAGCACTTATGACCAGGTCCACACTGTGGTATGTGCCAGTTTATTTCTAAGAATTTTCTTTGTATCTCACCGTAGTTCCATTTAAATGAGGAGACAGGCCTTCTGTGGGGTTCTGAACCTGACTATCTATGGGACATGGTAGAATAATGAATTAGGAGTGAGCTACTTTTTCTGAGAAGAGTAGATTTGTGGTTCCAAATCATCTCTATCTTGTTGAAAGCTCTATAATTCAGAGATTCAATGCAGTTATTCTACTGTTTGAGTATTTTGGGGTGTTTGGGGGTTATGTTCATTCTGCCTTGTGGTTTATAAAGATTCATTTATTTGTGTTTGTCTCTCTGAGTATATGTATATGCCTGAGTGTATGTATATGCACCATATGTGTGTAGATACTTGAGGTAGCCAGAAGAGGATGTTGGATCCCCTAGGTCCCCTGTCTGCCATGGCCATGGCAGGTCATTTCATGCTTATCAATTATTTTTAAGGATTAGAATGTAAAAAATGGGGGAGAGTATAAACAAAGTTACCTGTAACCAATCTATAAAGATCCATATAAAACTATTTTGTTTTTAGCTTAAAATATTAAAGAAGTTATTGGGTCCAGTGTGTGATAATTCAGTACAAGTGTATGGCAAGGGTAATTTACATTATCAACTCAAACTTTTTAAAAAGTTTAACAGTTTTTCTACAAATGCATGAAGCAGACTGTGATATTCAGTACAAATACACAACATGAACAGACAAAATCAGGGTGACTAGAATGTACAACTCTTTATTACTTAGTGTTTGGGGTTTTTAAGGTCCTCTCTTCTAGTTATAAAATATGTAGTATGTTATTATGAACTGTAGTCATATGCTGTTCTGTAGAAGCCTTGTGCTTATGACTTCTGAGCATGCATGTACCCTTTATCCAACCTTCTATTCCTCTCCTCCCTTCTCAGATCATTTTTTAGTATTTGTATATGAGAGAAAATGTGGTATTTGTCTTTCAGGGACTGACTTTTTTCACTGATTATAATGTCCTCCATATCCACTCATTTTACCATGAGTTATAGGATGTAATTTCATTATGGATGAATGATATTCCATTGTGCACTATTTAGATTCATTTATCTATTGGTGGATATCTAGGTCAATTCCATATATTAGCCCTTGTGATTAGTGCAGCAATGAATATGGGAATACAGATGTCTAATATGCTAATATCATTTCTCTTTAATATATACCCAGATTCAGGATAGCTGGATCATATGATAATTCTATTTTTAGTTTTGTGAGGAACCTTATGCCTAAAAGTGGTTTCTATTTCCATTAGTGTGTAAGAATTCCCTTTTATCCACATCCTTACCAATATTTGTTGTGTTTTGTCTTATTTATAATATCCTCCAAATGGGGTAAGATGATATCTCATTGCAGTTTTGATTTTCATTTCCCTGATCACTCAAGATGTTGAACATTTTCATGGTTTGTCGATTATTAAATGCCTTTTCTTTTAGGAAGGGTCCATTAAGGGTTTTAAGGATTTCTTTGATACTGAGCATTTGAAGATCCTTGTATATTCTAGCAAAAAATCATTTGCCAGATGAATAATTCTCATTTCCCCCAAATCTATAGATTGTCTCTTCACTCTGTTGATTTTTTTATTTGTTATACGGAAGTTTCTTAGTTTGATAGAATCACATTTTTCTATTTTGCTTTTGTTTCTAACTCTTCAGAGGATCTAATCTACATTGCCGCATGTATAGACATCTTGAAGTATTACTCTATACTCACTTTTTAATTTTAATAGCTTCATGTATTCAATCAAATCTGTGATCCATTTAGAGTTAATTTTTGAATAGAGTGAAAGATAGGGTTCAAGTTTCATTATTTTGCATGGGAATAACCAAGTTTTTTTCTAGTATCATTTATCGAGGCTGTCCTTTTACCAATGTTAAGTCTTTGGTGCCTTTGTCAAAAATAAGTTTGCTGGCATTAAATGCACATGGTTACTTCTGGACACTTTATTATCTTCCAGCGATAAAAGACATGGAACATTTTCCCATGGTCTAGTCATGTTCTCATTACAGAATAAAAATCATGCTTTGAGCATACATAAGTTTATGTGTTGCAGTTTTCTACTCAAAATGTGGTGTAAGCATATTTCCCTCCATTAAATCCTCTTAAGTATGACATTGTTTGCTGTGTTATTACCTAAATATGTATTATCTACTTACTAAATTTACAAATATTTTAATTATTTTCAATTTTTTGGTCTTTGTGAGACAGGGTCTCCTTGTAATCCCAGCTGGCCTGGAACTTACTATGTATACTAGGTTAGCCTCACTGCCTGCCCCTACCTCCAAGTGCTGGGATTAAAGGCATGTGTCACCATGCTTGGCTATTTCTAATTTCTTTTTAGTTTGAATGGCATTGCAGAAAACACATTAATAATCTTTGTTGGCATTTATTTCCTTAAAATAAATGCTTCGAAGTGTTTATCAACAGTTTAGATTTTTAATATTATTAAGGCTCTTAAATTTCTTTCCAAAAAGATTTGTATCATCATAAGATCTTACAAGTAAATATCAAGAATTTATCTTGCTATAGTGTTTGTTAACAGTACATATTTCTGTCACATTATTTGACTGTCCATTCTATAAATGGTAATAAAATGCTTTCTTCATTTCTGTTTTCCACTTAGCAACCTTAGTTGCAGTTCTTTATTAGTCATTGCAGCAATAATTTATACTGATTAGCTTACAGATTTTATAGACTAAAGGACAATTATGATTTGTGAAAGCATTTAGAAATATTTTTCTTACATTTGCTATCAACTTTATTTAGGAAATTATTGAAACAGATTATTTTTAAGATTCGATTACTCTAATTATTAAACTTTTCTGTTGCCATAACTTTAGTTGCATTGCATTTTTAAAGCCCTTCCCTCCACAGGAAGCAGATAAATATACTCCTCGTTTTTGAGTTTTACTCTGTGTATTTTACTTTGTTATGGTACTTGGTAACGTTCTATATTTATTGGCTGTGTACTTTTTTCTAATGATCGGTTGGCCTAGGATTAAGTATTGCATTGTGCTACTTTCTAAAGACTCTGGTTTTGTCTCTTTGAAATCCATTAATATTATATGGAAAGCATAAATCTGTTACACTGCACAGGTGGTACAGTGAGATATAACTGCTATTTTATTTCTGGTAGAACAATCCTCATTCTTTGTTGTGAATTGTTTCCTATGAAGCAAGTCATCTCAGCCTGCTGACTATCATGCCCAATTGTCCATGTGACTTGGCGGTGTAATTTCTTTCATTCCTTCTTTTACACCAATCATATTTAATTACTTTTATTTATTTTTATCAGAATATCTCATGTAGGGTAAGTTTCTTAGCAAGGTTGAGAAAGATGATTGATACTATCACAACAGAATTTAATTTCTTTTTCTTCTTCATAAACTGCCATGATAGGTCTAGGGAGAAACTTCCTGCATCTCTAACACAGAGCCAAAGTTTTATCACTTCCAGCTGTAAGGTGGCGCATCCCCAAATCAGCCAGATCTGATGAGCTGTACTTTAAAACTCTTGGTTATTTCCAAAGGAAAACCCATATTCATTGAAAAGATATTTTAAGGCTTTCTGTGAAGCTTTCTTTATAACCATCTTCTAGATAGCAGAAAATTATCTCATGAACTAATGTCTGTGCTCTCAGGCAGCTCTGGGATATGGGAAAGTTGTAAAGGAATTGCATGGGACAGCCTCTGGCCATTAATATGAACATAGAATTGATTTTGAAACGACTTGATATTTCAGAGGTATGTTTCAGTAGAAATGAAATCTATGACAAAATATTCACCAATGTCTTTTCTGAGACTGATCTTAATAAACAATAATTTAAGAGGTATGAAATTAGTTCATTTAAGTTTTAGGCCAAAGATTCATTGAAAACTGTTTTTATTTATCTATATGGTTTTACATCTAAACTTTATAAACAGCAAAGAACATTTCTAACATCCTCCTTAAAGAGGTATTTGATTTAAGAAAATATTTTAACATTAAGATTTGCTTTTTAAAAGATAAGTAATTTTAAGGCTAAAAGTTTGTGCATTAAATTGCCCGATCTTTGCCCCTGGTTATGTTCATATGCCTAGGTATAAGTTCTGTTGGCAAGCTCTACTACAGTTGTGAAAGGGACATGTGGCAGGGTCTCTTCTGATTGGTTATTGCCTTTATTCTACAGATTTGTTAAATATTGTCAGTATCACACTTCTCCCTAATCTTAAAGTAACAGAGAAAGAATCTAAGACTAAACAAAATTGTGACTATATAGAACATAGATTGTATGACTTGGGATTCATATAAAATAAGAAATTGCATTTGTCTTACTTGTACTATTGTTTTCCTTTTCACAGTACATTATATTTTAATATAATAATTTGCATCCTTTGAGAATTTCATACATGCATAGAATGTATAACAGTCTTTCTGAAGATAAAACTCATTGTTTACTACTAGGTTTTATTTAAAGAAATAATGACTTAAAATTTTCACATTGTCTTTTTTTAAAAAATGATCTATTTCACTAACCAGAATCAAATTTTGAAGTAGGTACCACTTATTAACACATTCTGAAATACAAAATTATTTATTTCAACTCTCCCCAGAAATTTCTGTTCCCTTAAAACCATGACATCTATTTCTATTCTTTTTCCATCCAAAATCAACTCATTTTAAGAAAGCTTCTCCTGGGACTGGAGAAATGGTTCAGCAGTTAAGAGCACTGACTGCTCTGGCAGAGGATCTGGGTTTGATTCTCAGCACCCATAGGGCAGTTAACAACCATCTGTCACTCTAGTTCCAGGGAATCTGACACTTTCTGACCTCCACAGGAATTGTACAATGTGGGTGCACTTACACACATGAAGGCAATACACTCACACAGAAATAATAAAAATAAAATAAAATAATTTTTTAAAAAAGAATGTTACTCTCCAAAAATGGAGAATCCCTCATGACTTAGTCACCTCTTAAAATTCCCACTTGTCACAGTTGCATTGAAGATTAAGTTTCTAGCTCTCCAATTCGAGGGTTGTATTCAGATCATAGTTTTATAGCAGCTCACACTGCATGGCAGTCCGAAGGCTTGTCATTACCTCCTCCACACCCAGGCTCCTCACCTTAGGTATGGTAGACTCCCTATCTGGGACTCCAGTACAATTCTTAGGTGTTCATTAAAGTGGTACCAAGGCATAAAGTATAACATTGATAAATGATGAGAAGAAATGATTACCTTCCTGGGTCCCTTATATCTTAAAATAATATACCATGAATATATCAAGCACCTTTCATTCTTAGCAACAATCTTCCTAAGCAGAAGGAAACGTAAAAAGAAAACCTATATATGCAGACCCACTCTGTCACAAAGGTGTGTGTCTCATCTCAGCCAAGAAGAAATGTGAAGACTTAACAAAACTAGCCTCCTAGATTCAGTTTTAACCAGATGTGAGATTTAATCAGGATGTTTCATAACTTTCATTAGGACATCCTGAAAATGAATTAAAACCAGAATCTAACACGCCCCGAGTTCTCCTCATGTGGACTCTTGAGTCCTTGAAATTAGATCTTGAGCTCCTCCTCAAATTGACAGCTCTACTTTCCCAGGGCCAGAAAATAAAGTTGAACCTACAATGGATGTTCTAACACTACACAAGTGCCGAATTGACAAATCTGTAAAAAATAGCTTCCTTATGTTATTGTGAATATTAACTAAAGCTAATTTTCAAAACGTATAAGGAGGAAGTTAATGTAGTACAAAGGGTAAATTTAAATTTCTTTGTCCTGTGTAGATGCTGCTGTGGTATTTATTTCTAGATAATCTCTGGCTTACTCTAATCATATCCCAAAACAATCGAGTAACAAAAATCTCACTAGGTTTATCTCTGTTGGCATTCCCTTTCCACTTCTGTGTTATTTCCCCACTGTGCATCACTAACTGCATATTCAGCCACAACATCCAGGAAAAATGGCAGAAGTGAATTCTCTTTAACCACACTCAAGCATGCTACAATCTAGGGAGTCTCTAACGAAATAGGATTTCTCAAGAAAAATATAATCTATCTCTTACAGAGCAGTAAGGATTATGCTTACTTCCAGACACACAGTAAATATCAAGAAAACATTTGATAAAGACAAAAACTGCAGAGGAAGTAGTGATGGAGGTTCCAGCAAAAATGAAGCAAGTTGTAAAGAGCCAGCAAATAAACTGCCTAAGAAAATCACTATCAGAGTGGTCTTCATGGACAGTGGTATTGTAATGATGTCTGCCTTCCTTAGTTTTGTGTGGCAATGAGGAACCACACCTGGGTAATTCATAAAGAACGTAAATGTATGTCATGTAATTCTAAGGGTTGGGAAGTCCAAGATCAAGGACCTGCCATCTGGTGAGGGTCTTTATGCTATGTTATCCCATAGCAGGAAGCAACAGGATAATAGAGATCATGTGAAGGATGTGGGAGCAAACCTGGCCTTATATTAGGAAGTCCACTCCATTGTCCATTAACCCACTCCCCAACAATGGAGCATCCTTCATGAGACAGTCACCTTATATATTCCCACCTGTCAACACAGCTTCCCTGGGGATTTCTACCACATGAACTTTGAGGGACATATTCAGGCCATAGCACCAGACCAGACCACACTGCCTGGCAGCCTGCTGTTAACTCACTCCCCACACCCAAGTCCCATACCATCCATATGTGTGACTCCAGCACACATTCATCTTCCACAGGGTCAAGCCTAGGTTTAAAAGCATTGTACATAAAACTCAAATAAATTATGTTACAATTGATTAAATTCTGATACCTTGAGGATTATAATGTTTTATTATCCATTGCATTTGGGAGACATGTTTTCTGCTGCTTTTACTTTATAAGCAGACAAAGGAAAGGATTCACAGTATGGATTTCTGGATAGGAATTTTAGACTTTGACACACATATTAGATAACAGGACTTTCATAATGCCCTTAAAAAGGAAAACCTGCTGGGTATTGTGGTGTGTGCCTTTAATACCAGCACTCAGGAGGCAGAGGTGGGCAGATCTCTGTGATCATCCTGTTCTACATAGTGAGTTCCAGCCATCTCAGACTACAGTAGGACCCTGTCTCAAAAGGAGGGAGGGAAGGAAGGAGGGAGGGAGAGAGAGAGGGAGAGGGAGAAATGCTGAGAAGTGGCTATTTATTCATTAGTCTATTTTCAGTGCATCATTGTATTTAAGATTAGGCAAGAGAGCAATTATAGCTTTAGAAAGCAGTACATTCTGTAACTAAATGATTTCCTTATTTTTGGCAGTACATACTGTACCTATATTCTTGTCATCAACTTCATAAAACATTGGTCAGTATTCAAGAACAGAAATTTTGTTCCATGCATGGATGAGTGGAATTTTTTCCATTTATCAAAAAAAAAAATTGAAACAAATCATTACAGCATAGGAAATACAAACTTGTATAATGCAGTTCAAAGGCAATCAGTACAGCCACAAGTAAGCATTTCATTTATATTATATTAAGGGGCTCTGAAAAACTTCACATTCTGTACTATGATAGGACTCCTGGGTCAAATTAGCAGGACTCAGATACTCAGATATTTTTGCTACTGCAGCTGCCGACCTAATAATCCTATAGATATTTGGGAAGAAATGTAGCTTCCCCATCAGGAGGCTCTTCTGTAACTGGAGTTGGTCCCACCAGGAGAAGCGTTAACTCTTCGATGTATAGAATGTAATAGTGGTTACAAGGTGCAAAGCGTGGGAAGGGGGCAGAGAGGAATGGGGAGATGCTGCTGTCAAAGTTTCAGTTAGACAGGAGGAAGGTGCTTTGGAGAGTGATGATACAGTTGGATGACCATGGTTACTAATGATACATCATTCAAATTTATTGTAAATACATTTTAAATGTCTTACCACAAAATAGCTCAAATTGTTTATGTTTATTCAAACATCACATTGTAGCCCATAAATATTCATACTTATGAACAAATACATTTAAAAATATGAGGGCAAAAAACCATGTAAAATGTTTGAATATAAAACAACAAAATTCTCAGAAGTGGTAGACATGGATGTACAGCTGACACTTTTCCACAGTACAGGTAGAAGGAGCTGGCAGGGTGGCTGTTAAGGTAAAAGGCAGGATAGCATGGCAAAAAGGACCTGTCTGTCCTCTCTAGGGAAGGGTATATGTGCAAGTGCCACAGTGTGTGCACACCTCTGCTCCTGTGGTTTCCCTGTTCTTGCCTGGGAAAAATCGTGTCAACATAGTGTTCTAATCATTCCCCTCTCTACTGGTAATGGCTGAGCTAGACTGCAGTAAAGAAGCATGTGTGGCAGCTGAACAGAACATAGAGCAGCTTTCCCTGACTGTACCTGTGATTCACCCTGTTAGAGAATTTGGCAAATATAGAAATATGCACATAAAAAATTAATGTTAGATTATAAGAAATAAATACTTTAAAGATTATATTTCCATCTGGTCTGTTTTCTATACATGTATTAGTTATAAGTTTGGGTTATATCATGGATCTAAATTTCTATTTATAGTCCTCACATTTTTATAGGTTATTAAGCGAAATAAAATATTTGAGCTGCAGCTTATTTAATGAAGCCTGACTTTTTGGATAATGATGTTGTTTTAAATAATAGTAACAAACCAAACATCCTGAAACGCATGATTATCAGCATCTTTGATTGCTTCCTTAGGCTGCATGCTAAAGCATCAATGAGTGGGTCAATGAATACAGATAATCCTTTAAAAAAACTATCTGGTGATGATAGCAAATTTTTTGTAGCTTTAAAAATATGAGAAGAAAAACAACCAGGAGTAACATTGGTGTTATGGCCATTCCTTACCATGGATGTACCATTTTATAAGACGGTAGCATGCTGCCAAGTCCAAAATTGATACTTCTTACTCTTTCAGCAACTCAACCCTAACCTTCCTACTTATACTTCCTGCCCTTCTCATCATCACCTTTCTCATCTACCTTACCTATGGCCTTGAGTGATCATGGCTGGCAGTGACTCCATTTTAAAGTCTAAACTTTTCCTTTAGGTACTTTATGGCATCAAAATTTCCCATCGGACTTTTGAGATAGTTTGGGTGAAGGAAGGAAGCACTGTCCTCTGGGTCATGTCCTTCTAATTTGAAGGTCCCTTGTATATAAATCAGCACAGGATGATCAAGTATAGGCTTGGATGTAAAAGCTCCATGTCTCCATTCTACCCTCATGTTGCCATGAGCTCATGCTGGTTGTAGTAGAAACAGCAGCACCAGTAGGGCATATTCAAACAATCAATCTTGAGTTCTTTCAAAAGATAATATGTAGCTTAGTATAGAGAACATAAAAACATTTTAAATGGGCCAAATCTCAAACAAATTATAAATAAGCTCATTCTATCTAGGGGATTTAGTTTCTTTCCATTGCAGTTTCTAAATGAATGGGAGTTCTGAAGAAACCATTTCTATCAAACTTTTGGCTCATTATGGGGTAAAGCAAGTAAGTTCACTACAATATAGGCAAATGGGTATGCTAAGTATTTATTCAGTGATTATTAAGCTCTTGTCATGGGTGACATCATTGAAGACAAGAAGGGACTACTTCCAGAGCTTTTAAAGTTATTAATACTGACATAATAGCTGATTTTCAATCTCTTTCCAGCCATCATACGTCCCAAGGAAGCTTATTCCAATAACAATCATCAAGCAAGGTAATTATTCTGCTCTAGGTATATAAGAGCTACTGTAATATACTATTCAAAAATAGTTAAATATAGCATATGTTTTCTCAAATGTTCTGACAGTTTTTTTTAATTTGAAGAGCTAGTTGGCTTAGTAAATTTGCCATTGATATGTAATTTTAGTTGTTGTACTGATAGGAAAATCTTGTCCAAGATGTACCAGTTGGGCAATTCTGGATGAAGCAACTGTAACAAGTAATAAATTAAAAATAATTAAATGTGTGGAGCTTTGCTTTGGATTCAGTTAGCATACATGAAGATAACCGTTAGGAGAATATTTAGGATATAGGAATGAAACTCTTAGCGGACACTTCAGGGAACTAATATGTCTATGTTTCAAGAATCAAAATGCTATGTTTCATGTCAGTGTCCACTTTTTTGGCTTCCAGTTTTCAAATTATTAAAATGACTCCATTATTTCCATGATATTTCTTGGTGGAAGAGTTGAGGCCTTAAAAATCACTCTTCGTTATAAGGAAACAATGTCCTAATTGTAGTCTTAAGACAGGGTCAGTTTCTATTGGAATAATTTAAAGGTTCTTGGATTTCAGGATATATGTTTTCTAATTTAAGATTGTCTTGTCATTGTCACACTTAATGCTGGTTCTTATTGCTTTGGGGAAAAGTCAGACTGCAGAGGGAAGAGACAAGAACTGAATTTTTCCACTAGAGTGTAACACTTTATAATAGGGTGATAACTGACAGCCTTTGTTACACAAAAGCATAGGTAGTAAGGTAAGATATGTCATCTAATCCTTCTGTAGACTGTGTAGCCAACCCACTGAGTTGCTTTCTATTAATTAATAAATTTAGGTTAGGACTGTCCAATGGATGGTAGCTTTACATTATTAGCTTCCTACTGATTCCTATTTTCTGCCCCATCATAATATTGTCTTTGTGTACTTCCCCAGTGATTCAGAATGTTACTCATCGGGCTTCAACTAAATCCCCAGACAAGATTCCCTTTGGAGGAACAATACTAGGTAAGTCAATCTTGAAATATATGTTTAGAATAGGAAAGTTAGGCTACATTTTAATAATATGGTCCTTATGGAATTTTGTACCTTGATTAGGTATGCTAAATTAATGTCAGTTCAGTTTATTTCACTCTTTAATACTTCAGCTTATATCTAAGAGACACTGCCATTATCACGACATGTTAAAGAAATAGCTATAGCCCATGTAGAATATCTGACCCTGAGTTAAAATCCGGAGGATTTCTTTTGTGCAATCCCTGTTATGAAAGTACTCTTGAAAAAGATGTAGTCACATTTTTTCCAGTATTTTAAAACTTGGGTTAAAGTTGAGTAAACAAAGGAAGTGCTCACCTTCCCTCACATTCTAGTTTCTGATGCTGTATGCTTTATTTTATGCCTGATGCATTTTCTTCCCCCATCTTATTTACATCTGTTTCCTTGCAGTCCACCTTATAATTCCAGGTCTGAATGATACCACTGTGAAGCTTCCCACATCCATAATGTTTGAGATTTCAGATGCCCTCAAGGTGCAATTAGGTAAGCAAAATCATTCCATATTTGGGTTTTTCAGTGAAATTGATGGAAAGGACTAGGGAAGAAGCTCAGTGACAGTACCTTCCTAACACAGATGAGGCCCTGTTGCAAGCCCAACAAGGCATAAGTAATGATATAACAAAAATCACTGATTTCATTTAAGATATACAACATGGTACTGTGGTATTCACCATGGAACGGCTGCTGTAATCAAGACAACTGACATATTTATCACTTGCATAGTTACCCACGATGACTATGGGCATGTAAATGTCTCTGAGGTGCCTATTTTACTTCCTCTGGACAAACAACCATCAGAAAGAGGGCTGGGTCATACAATAGCAAAGGTACTTTTAATATTTTGAGTCAACTTCATACAGTTTTACATAAAGATTACACCAATTAATATTTTTGCAAATAGTGTGTGAATGTTCTCTTTTTTTATAAGCTTATCTTTTGATGATAGCCATTTCATAGGAGTGAGGCAATAACCTAATTATAACTTTAATCTGCATTTACCTATTGATTAGTTATGTTGAACATATTTTTTATACCTGTCAGTTATTTTTATAGTATCTTCAGAGAAATGTCTATTCAGATCCTTTGCCTATTAATGAGCTTGTTTAATTCTATTGTGTTATTTAAATATACTATTACAATTAATTTAATTTGTTTTTAAATTTTTTCATATATATGTAGATATATTGTTTTCTGATTGATCTCATCCCTACCCTGCTAATCTCCCTCCTCCCTCATCTGTCTGTAAAGCCCTCACCAATCCCTTTTACATATTAATGTCTTCTGTGTTTGTGTCCCTCTGCGTTTGACAAAAGCCATCTGTATGACTATGGGATTGGAAGTATCCATTAGAGCCTGGTGGGTTCACCATTGGGTATGCTATTGAAGACAATGTATCACTCTTGAGTCTATCAGTAGCTAATAGATAGGCAGTAAGGGATAAGACCCCATTACTCTCTTCCCAACCCATGACTGTTTACAGGGCCTGCCTTGTGTAGGACCAGTCCAAGTAACAGCATCCGCTGTTTCTGATTATAATGGCTGTGTTGTACCTCGATAATGTGATTTTGCAGACTTCTCCCTGTCTCTGCTATTACATTCTGCTCCCTCTTCTGCAGTGTTCCCTGAGCCTTAGAGAGGGTGGCATAAATGACTTGTTTAGAGATGAACCCTCAACCATCATTTATTATCAGCTTCCTAAGCAGTCATGAAAATCTGCATTCATCATCATTCATTGCAGAGAGAGTCTTCTCTGATTAGGAGTGAGGTAGCCTTTGTCTGTGAGTATAAGCTGATATTTAGAAGGCAGTTCAATACTATATCTTTTTAGTTAAACATCAGTAGTACTTTCCCCATGGTGCATGGACTCTTTTTTTCTTTTAAATCAGGTTTATAGTACCAGGCTTCGGTTCATTTCTGTGGAATGGGCCTTAAAGCAAATCAGGGAGCAGATGATTACCCTGTATTGCACCATTAACATCTTGCTTGGTTATTTGGTGTTGTTGCTTTAAGACTTCATAGCTGAGTAAAACCATTGATACCTTTTCTCCTCAAACAATCTGCAAAGAACCTTCTGGCACTTTCAAAGTTAACTAGCATGGAGGAGTTTTCTAGTCAATTCCTGCTTCAGTTCTTTGCATATCGTTTAACCACTGTGTGTGGTATCTTCAGCAGCAGGGTCTTATGAAATAGTTCTGGTTGGCAATCAAGTGGAAAACCAAGAGCCTGTGTATTTGGGAGGGGCGGGGGGGGGCATGGCTCCAGAGCTTCTCTGACCGGCAGTAACTATAGAGGTTGGCACTGATATTTTGAGCATCTTGCTGCTTCTAGGGGCAGCCTTATCTAGTCATTCAGGGTATCTTCCTCAGAGCTCTTTTTATATAAGCATGTTTCCATATACCTTTTTCGTGCCCCCTTAATTTTAGTTAACCTTCCTCTCTGTTTCCTTTCATCTCCCCCATCCCCCAATCCCCTCCCTGTTTAATGACTCCTGTGCCTGGAATTCCCCTTCTTTCTATCATTTTATCTATGTCCTTCTACCCTCTTTCTTAAGGCTCCCCCACTTCCCTCAAACTGGCCTTTTTCTAGTTTCCAGTCTTCCACAGATACTTCTTTTTCTAGCTACTGTAAATGCAGCAGCTTTGAGCACGAACATGCAGGTGTTTCTATGGTAAGATACAGATTCCTTAGGGTGTATGCCCAGAAGTGGTGTAGCTGGGTTATATGGAAGTTTTATTTCTAGGTTTTGAGAACCCTCCAAACTGATTTCCAAAGTGGCTATACTAGTTTACACTCCCACCAACAGTGTACAAGGATAGTCATCTTCCCACAACCATACCAACGTTTGTTATTTGTAATTTTTATGATGGCCGTTCTTACTGAAGTCAGATGGAATCTTAAGGTAGTTTTAATGTATATTTCCCTGATGGCTAAGGATGTTGAGCTCTTGTATTTTTTTTCTTTTTTCATTTCTGAAAATGTGTTTGTATGTGTGGCATGCATATGTGTTTATGCATGTTTGCATGTGTGTAGGCACATGTGTACATACATGTGAAGGCCCCAGGCTGTCAGGAATCATCCTTGATTACTGTTTCACCTTAGTCATTGAGGCAGGATCTCTTAATCAAACCCAGAGATCACTGATCTGGCTAGTCTTACTAGCCAGCTTGCTCTGGAGATCCCCTACCTCCAACTTCTGAAGCTGGAATTACAAGTGGGCCACCAAGCCCAGGTGGCATTTAGTGATTTAGTGGGTTGTGGGACCCTGAACTCTAGTTCTCATCTTTGTGTGGCAAATGCTTAAATGCTTGAAGCACTGAGCCATTTCCTCAGCACTTTGACACCTTTTAAAGTATTCCCTAGCCATTTTTATTTCTACTTTTGAGAACTGTTTGGTGCCATAGCCCATTTTCAATTGGGTTTTGTTTTTGTTTCTGTTTTTTGGATGTTTGGTTTTTTGAGTTCCTTGGCTATTCTAGATACTAATCCTGTCAGATGTACAGCTGGCAAATATTTTCTTCCATCATGTGATTGCCTCTGCTGAACTGATGGTTTCCTTTGCTGTACTGAAGCTTTTGAGTTTCATGAGACTCCATTTGTGGATTGCTGGTCTTATTCTCTAGGCTACTGGAGTTTTATTCAAAAGTCCTTACCTGAGTTTACATGATAAAGTACACTCCGTACTTTTTCCTCTAGCAGTTTCATAGTAATGCCTTACTTTTGACTTTAATTGATGGTGATTGTACATATTTATGGGTTCCATTTCAATACAGACATACAGGCATAATGATGAGATTAGGGTAATTGGCATATTATCACTTCAGACATACGCAATGTCTTTGCATTGGGAACATTAGAACTCCGCTCTCCTAGCTATTTTGAAATGTTAAAATGTTAGATTAATTATTTTCCTCCATTGTCATCCTCCTGTGCTATAGAATATTTCTGAGTTGTATGAGTTCTTTATATATACCTTGAATATTGAGTCTGATATGAGAAACATGAATGCAAATATTTTCTTCCTATCTGTAGCCTGCTTTTCATTTTGTTGATTGTTTTGCTGTGCAGAAACCTTTTTTCCACAGAAATAGCATGGGAATAAACACTTTTTATATTACCAAGGGAGAAATAAACTTTCCCAAAGTTAATTATCACTGTAATTCAGAAGAGTCATATTTTTGAGGGAGTAAATCCTAAAAATAATAACCCCATTCCAACAAAGCCCATCAAGAGATGTCATAGAATTAGTTCTAAGAACACATGGTATGAATAATGAGAGAAATAAACAAGAAAGCTAGTATTATACACGCATCTCCAAGGGACTAACCAAGGATTTGCCAAAGACAAGCGGTACCCTGCCAAAAGTTAAGGGAAACAACTGTGCTGAAAAGGTACAGAAAAAGAATTAAAGAAAGGGATTTTCCTGAAATGTAGGTCATATTTTGATGGAGTTTTACTTTTTGTCAATACAGAAGAAGTATATAATGTAGACAAATGCTTATGGATTGGAAAGAGATACCAGAAGTCTCTCTCACTACTCTGGTATCTGAAATATCATATTTAGAAATACCTATGGATTTATAAGAAATTAGTGATGCATAAAGTATATAAATATATCTTAAGAAGACAGTTTGCCATTTTTCTCATTTATAATTGAATTTTAGACTAATATGATTGCCAGATAAAGGCATCTATTGAATACAAGCACCTGAAGTGATATAGATTATTGTCCCTGACTGAGAGTCTAGGATGTGGAGAGAGGGAGAGACAGAGATAAAGATCTAAAGGGAGAAAAGTCTCATATTCAGGCACAAATTCACCAAAATCAAGAATATAAGATATTATTAAGTGGAAAGAAAAAGATTAGCAAAATTTCCCTAAAGGATATGGGAACACTGGATGGTGGGAGGAACACTGTCATTTACATTTGAAGAGTAAAAATCTTCCTGTGGCACATATTGAAAATAGCAGTACCAGAGCTAGTGAAAAACTTGTAAATTAAATGTTTATTCACGCTTGATAATAATTAGAATAATTCTCAAAAAAGCTGTGCTTGTGAAAGATGACCAAAAAAAGAAATACTAGTAAAAATTAGAAAAATTTTTTAAAATTATAAAATATTGACTCTATATGTTCAGTTATTACAGAGTTTGTACTCTTTATGCCCTGCTAACTCCATCTGAACAATGCTGCTGACCATCTCTGTTGTACAGACACACCATGCAAAGGGCTTGACAGTGGTGGCTAACGTGCTGTACCTGCCAATCCTGCTGTCCAGAGTAATCATCTCCATCATATATGTCAAAAATTGACACCAGCCGGCTTTCTAATTGTCTTTGAGCCTATATGAAGTAAACATATTTTGTGTTCCATTAAATGAAAAGAAGAAAATGGCCTTTACAGGAGTGATGCTGGCTTTAGAACATTACAAAATTTAATTCATCTAAAAAGTTTGAGAACATAGATTAGATCAGTTCTCAATTGTGTTCTAGGGATACTCTGGCAATGGCTAGAGACATTTCTGTTTTTAAATTTGGGCACTTCTGTTTTAGAAATGTACTTTCTTTGAAAAAGAACACCTAAGTTTTAGAAGGAAGGTTTCCCAAAAGCTGTATAAGAAGGAAGATTTTTTTTTCCATTTTTGCACTAAATTGTTAGACTGAAAAAGAAAATCTGTCTTAGCATGTGTCTCAAATAAAATTTATTGTTCATAATTTTGTTTTGCCACAAACTTTTCCAAATAACTTACTTTCCTATGTCTCTTATTTGTGTATTTCAAAAATGCCAGTGTTATAACCTGTTACATTTTTGCTGTGTATAATAATGGAGAATCCCTATTGACTTTAAAATTTATTTTATTTTTATCAATTTTGTTTGTATGAGTGTATTGTCTGCATGTGTGTAAATGCACGCATGTCATGCAATGCCCGTGGAGGTCAGAAGAGAGCATCGAATTCCCCTGGAACTGGTGTTAGAACAGTTGCTAGCCGCCATGTTGGTACTGGGAATTGAACCCAGGTCCTCTGAAAGAGCAGTCAGTGCTCTTAACCACTGAGCCATCTCTATAGCCCCTTAAAAACTTATTTATTTATTTATTTATTTAGATTATTAATGTCTGCATGTGTGTAAATGTACCCATATTGTGGAGTTCCCACAGAGGACAGATGAGTGCCTTAGAGTTCCTAAAACTGGAGTTATGGACAGTTGTAAGCTGCCATGTGGGTGCTGGGATTCAAACCCAGATCTTCTGCAAGAACAGCCAGTGCTCTTAACTACTGACCCATCTCTCCATCCCCTCTAATGACTTTTAAAAAATTAACAGTATTTAAATATGAAATTAAGGAACTTTTTCAGATCAAACTATAACTTCCAGAAATTGTTTAAATCGCAATGCTGAAACTTGTCTAAGTAGTCTATTGTGATTTTTGGTCATTCAATTCCAATGTAGGTATTAAAAAATTAGGAAGGGCTAATAAGGAGGAATTTTGAAGCCTGTCTTTGGTTCATACCAACCCCAGGTAGAAGCGCACAGTAGAGTTGACTGGCTGGTGAAAAGATGTGTGAGAATTAAATCTTCTTGTTACTTGACTGTGTTGGTAATAAGAAAACTTTGGACTCTGTACTATGAAGAAATGAAGTAAATTGTTTTTCTCTTTCTAGCTAAGAATGAAACCTTGGCATTACCTGCTGAATCTAAAACACCAGAGGTAGAAAAGCTCCCAGAACAGCCCATAACAGGTAATGAGATTCCTATTGAGACAAGAAGTGATATTTTTTCATATAATAAGTGATCTACAATCATGTTTTCACATGAAGAGCCAGAAGGCAGTTCATTTTGATCATAAACAGAAACCAATAGGAGAATCTAGGGCTTTAATACTCTGAGAGAGAACAGATAAAAAACGAGCAGTTGAATGACAGACCCGATATGTAGTATGGAGGATGTATTCTTCACTATAAATGGAATTTCCATCAGCACTGAAAAGTTTAATGTGTAATTCAATGGTTTAGGGGTTTGCCATTTACATGAACACTTGAGACTATATTTCATTGCTTTACTTTCACAAATGATCAGTTTGGCAAAATGTCTTATATCCCTCATGAATCCATAACTTGATGGCCATGAAAATGCACCAAAATCATTTAGGAACAACTGTCCTCAGAGATTAACATCGTTTAAAAAATCCTTTGAAGAATATATATATAGTGGGACTGGAAAGATGACTCAGCAGTTAAGAGAAGTGGCTGCTCTTGCAGAGGACCCAGGTTCAGTTCCCAGCACCCACATAATGGCTCATAACTGTCTGTAATTCCAATTCCAGAGGATCAACGCCCTCTTCTGGCCTCTGCAGGCATTGTATTGACATACATTCACACAAAACACTCATACACATAAAAATACAATAAATAAAGATACATTAGTAAATAGTGTCCCCATAGTTTATCACTGTTACTAATAAACATTCATTTCTTCTCCAAATGAAACTACCCAATCAAATTCTCTGGGGAGACAGAATCTCTGAAGTACTAAGTTTTTATCGAGCCATACCACCTTATCCAAGATTTGATGAAACAAACATCTGGAAAGCATTCACAATTAGTGAAGTCACTCTTATCTGAAGTGAATTTTTTAATTCATAAAATTGTTGTATCTTGAGATATTGGTGATGTTTCATTTGTTTCAAAGTTTTGGACTGTGCTTTTTTCAGAGCAGGTAGGATTGATGACATAACAAAATAATTTCAAGAAACAGATTGAACTAGAATATTTCTGACAGAGTGAGTATGATCTTGCCTAAAGAAGAGAAAAGGGGACCTTTATACTGCAGAGGCAGAAGCCACTAGAGCTACTAGAATCATCCATGTGGATGAAAGTCCCAAGGACTTTTTTCTTTACTTCCGTGTAATCAGTTAATAAAGAGAAAAGCACAGGCATTACTAGTAGGCAACTCCAAGCCCTCTTCTGTCTCAAACGTTCTACTCAGTTTTCCAAGTTACGCGTTCTTCTCTTGGAACACATCTAATGAGAGTCTACAGATTTCTTAAGTTTCTGCCAAACTCTGCTCAGAGTTTTCCACTTCAGAAATACTTAAGCAACCACACAACTCATTGAGAATTGTTAGTGCCTGGCCTTGCTGGAAAAGTCTAGGATGTCCTAGAATTTTCAAATCTTAGTAATCATAGTTTTTATTTCTCTATATCTCTTACTTGAGGTCTTTTTTGCCTTTAACCATGGATCTGGGGCAACTCTGCGGCTGAGCACTTGAATATTGATCATAATATCAGCGTAGTTCCCAGCTTTGCTGGTTGAGTGTGGTTTTAGGAGAACTTTAATAATGTGGTAGTTCTTTTAATCCTGGGCCCTTCTTTAATTTGCTCATTTACTCACTTATATTATCATGGGACTGTTTACTCCAGTTATTACACTTCATGGAGATCAGTGTAGTATGTTTCTGTGAACACTAGAAAGTAGACCAAACTTGGTAAGGATGGGCTGGGACAGAGAGGCAGCCAGACACCTGGGCAAGCCAGGGAGCCTAACCTCAGGAACTTAAACAAATGGGCTGTATTAGTATCAGTTGCTAATACTGAAGGCCAAAAAAAGGTATCTCATGATGTAGTTGCTTCATCACCTAATTAAACTTTAATTCATCAACTTTTCTATGTTTTACTTTTCAGTGACTCCTGAAACAGTTTCAAGAACCACGGTTTCTAGTACGTTAGACATTTCAGAAACAACACTGGGTAATTCTAAGAATTATTTTTTGTTTTAAAACAAACAGCAGTAATGAGACACTCCCAACGTTAATAGGGAAAGTACCTTATCCTTCCATCTCCCACCTTACCCCTTCTTTGTTCTTTTTCCTTTTTCTGGGCATTAACTTTCCAAGTTCTTAGACCAGTTCCACTGAAGAGCTAACAACATGCTTTGATCCTGGTGACCAGAGAACAGGCAGATCTGGATGCTGCATGCTAACTGCATGCCCCATTTCACTGCTTTCTTGGATTACATGGACAGTATACAACATTTCAACCCTAGAGATGTTGGAAATCTTGACTATGTCTGCTCAGATCAACTATTGGAAGAGCTGTGCACACTAAATTTAGGAAGACTCACACCCAAAGACATATTATTTGATAAGAATTTCAGTCACTCTTGTTAAGCACTATTTTACTCCAAAGAATCTGCTTGCTTCTATTGCTTTCTCTCTCCCTGAGTAAAAGGAGCAGCATGTATTTTGTTCTGCATGTGTGATGCTGCTCTTCTCATTTCAACAGCCAGGTCACTTTTCCAGGGAGAGAAATGCTTTTTTCTACAAAAGCATCAACTACATGTTGCACATGAGTCTCTGCTCTGAAGCGTACTGTGCGTGATCATAGTTAAGCTAAAATGTCAAATCCTGAGTTGCTAACCATGTTCCTCTTTATTGTAGTTTTCAGCGAGATGACGCCAGAAATGCCGCAAACTGTTCTAATACCTAAGTTTGAACTGCCACTGAGCACTCTAGGTAAAAGTTATTGACGGCTGCAGCTCTGTTGCTACTCTGTAAATATTTTGCACTTTTAATTAAAATCTGTAGGCTACTTTACTCAAAACCATTTCCTCACAAGAAATAAAGGGACAAAACTATAGAACAATGAGCTCCCAAGCCCATAAACAGGATTTAAAAACACCTTCATGACTTGGCATCCTAAATTGTGAGGTCTTCCCTGTGACAAAGCCACCAATAGTTTTTCTCAGTGGTGGTCATATTTTTTTATTTGATTCTTTCCATTCAGAATCACGTGTCACTGTTCAAATGAGTACATTCTACATTTTTCTCAAATGTTTTTGTTAGACTATCTCTCTGTCTTGACAGAGAAGAAATTTAGATATTTCTGCAGACTGCTTAGGAGTCTTAGAATTTCTTCCCAGATCAAAGGAGATCAGGTACACTAAGAGGGCATAGATAATTCTTAGATTTTTTTTTAATGAATGCAATATAAAAATGGAAGAGCTTACGCGCTTATACATAAAGTTGTATAGCCATCAAAATTTTGCCTTCAGACCTATCAGGTAGATATTTTCTAGTTCAAATGTGTTCAGTGCTTGGTTTGAATTTAAATGAAATACAGCCAAGAACACATAAATGTATCCAGAAAACTCAAGAAGCTAGTTTAATAGTGGTAGAAACAAAAGCCTAAATCCTTCAAGTTTAGTGACTTGGTTATAAAATGTTGAAAAGGGGAGTTTGAGCTGGGCATGGTAAGCACGTGCTGTAATAACTGTACTTGAGAGGCCCAAGTAGAGGGGTTATGAATTCTAGGCCAGCTTGAGCCACATAGTGTCTCATAAAAATTGTCTTGCTGTGGTGGTGCACGACTTTAATCCCAGCACTTGGGAGGCAGAGGTTGGCAGATCTCTGTGAGTTTGAGGCCAGCCTGGTCTACGTAGCAAGTTCCAGGTCAACCAGGGCTACAAGGAGGCCCTGTCTCAAAAACACCAAAAACAAACAAACAAATAAAAAAAACCCCACAAAAAACCCAAAACAAAACAAAACAAAATATTATCTTGAATTGAAATCAAGAAGTAAAAACCACTACTGAATATTTCTTACTTGACATAAAACAATTTTTCTCTTGTTTTAGTTTTTGTAACTTTGAGGTTTTTAAAACACTTTTTTCTATTACTTAACATCAGGTCATCACTATCTGTGTATTTTATTACAGCTCCAAAGAGGCTCCCAGAGTTTCCTGAGGCAAAAACACCATCCCCTTTTGAGAGACTTGGGGGTACCTTGGGTAATAAAAGCACTTTTTATATTTGATGTTAAGAATATAGGTGGTGGGCTGTAGATGTAACTTGGAACTGATCACCAGTCCCATAGAAAGTGGGTGCTGATTGCTTAATTATGCAAAACACTGTTACTGCGTCACTGTTACTGCAAAGCTCAATAAACCAAGAACTGGATTACTTCAAGAAAATAAGTAGTTTATTTGGTTGAAAAAAATGAAAGAAAAACTATTGATTTTCTACAACTTCATCAAAGTCACATCTGTTAATTCCACCTAACCCAACTGGGTGGTTTATTTGTTTCCCAAAATGTCTACTGTGACACCAAATAAGATGCTCTCTGGATTGGTACACACTGATGTCTTTGAAATATAAGGTGACTTTTAATTGGATCCATGTGAGATTTTTACTGCAGTCTTCTGGTAGCTGCTTACCAATACAAGCAATCTCTGTTTGTCATCAAACAAATATTCAGCAGCTTCTGTTTCTCTCTAATATAGCTTCGAGTGAAAAGCCCTGGATGGCACCTATAGTTAAAACATCTGAAGATTCCAAAGCTGTGCAGCCTCAAACTGGTAATTGCATTCTTTTTAAAAATGTAGTTAAATTCTTTGAAAATTTTATACATGAGTATTGCATTTGCACCATTTCTACCTTCCCCGGCTCTAACTTCTTCCATGTCCCCCCACTCTCTCGCAGTTTCTTACTCTTTGATTATTATTACTATATACACAAATGTATTTATAAATATATGTATTAACACTTTTGTTTTCACCTGCAGAGGTTTTGTAACCAATCATCAATGCAATTTGTGGCAAATAATGATAGTATATCTTTTGTTTCTTTAACATACAATGCATCTATTTAAACATTAGTTTAAGTATTCTGTGATGTTATTTTTATGTTAAATTTCAATTAAAATTTAAAAATAGATGTTTGTGGTTTCCAGAGTTGAGATGTTCAGGTGTTGCTGTATTTCTACCATTCAGTGGTAGATACATTCACACTTTTGCTTCAGCTTTTCTTATTTTTTGATTTTAGATAAATCTGTGCATGTACTAAGGTTTGTCCTATTTCCTATTTAGTTTCAATATATATGATTGTTTTTCCCAATTACTTGGGTAGCTTTCTATTGCAACTGTTTTCATAACTAAGAGAGGTAATTTACAAAGTTAGGCTTATTTAATTATTACATAGAGAACACAGACTCTGAGGAACTGGGGAATTTCTTGGAGGACATTAGAATAAACTTACTGCATGATTTTTGTTTCGTGTTAAGTGCCTGGCAGAGGTGTGTGAGGAAGTGTAGCTTTGTTCTTGATTGAGAACATTCAGAAACTGATAGTGAGTCGTAATGAGTATTTTCATAGTTCTTAACTGCATAGCAAGATGGGAAATGGAGATGAAGCTGTGACTGGTAAAGAAACACAAATCATCCATATGAGCTAGAATGTCTGGAGGGGTAGTTTGGTGGTTTGGATGGTGCTCATGTTTTTGTTTGTGTTCTACTTGATTACAGAAGAATTTTGGTTTTGTCTGATCCATTGTTATCACAGAGTAAACTCATTCAATATTAGTGTCCTTTGAAATTGTTGACATTCAACCAATGCCACAGCCCACCTGTGAAGGCCAGGCCAACTCCTGGATGTCTAGGCTGCTTGATTAGTCATCAAATGTGATGGGTGGTTTATTTTGTAAAAATTTATTCTGCTTTGGCATTTATTGGTGGTTTCCCCCATATTTCTGTATTAAAACGGCAGAATGAGTGTTCTTATAAAGATTTCTATACCAGATTTTGATATAATGGATAATTGAGAATTCTACTCCCATGGTTATTAAAATTCCTGGTTCATTTCAATAGTTTTGGCAGCAATGGAACAGGGTATTTGAGATTTGGAATATTGCAAGACATATGAGATGTGTAGTCATCTAATACACTATTCCCTGTTTTCAGTGTGTTTGCACTGACCTTGCATTAGTGCTGTATTTTGTGATTTTATTATCTGAAATTGCATTTTGTATAACCTTCTGTGAAGTATGTTTAAGTAAGGTTATGTGCTTGATTTCTTTGGCAAATTTAATTTTCCATAGAGTATACAAAGGAAAACATAAAAATGTGCTCTACAATTGCATACCAGTATGTAAAATTACTTACAAATTATGTGTTTTAAGGAAACTTGCCAGATTTTAGAAATACTTAAGTGCTTGTGATGGTTATTCAGGAAGGGCTCCATCATTTTGATGATGTAACAGAATTATTCTTATGTTCTATTGGAGGTTGGCCAGTTTACTATAACCTCAGTGTTATTGTAGGAGGAGTTCTAGACACTGCCAGTACCTTCCACCACTGGCGAACTATGCATTTGTGTTCATGTGATTCACATGCTGTTGGATCGTTTCTTACCTGAATAATATCATTTGTGTAGCAATTTTCTTCTAAAAACTCAAAGGGATATGAATACAACATCATATTGATTTTTCCAAAGTACTTGGGTGCTGGCAGTTTTTCTTTTATACTAAGGAGATGCACAAGGGACTTATTTGAAATGGCTGGAAGAACAATGATTAGATTCATTCATTTCTTTCACAATCACACCAGTATAAATCATTCCAATTTAAAAGTGAAACATTGCATGCTTTGAAATGTTCAGAGGTTTCACAATAGAGAATTACATGTTCTTACTGGGCGATGGGCTTTCCAGAAAGATAAGAAGCATCAGGTGACCCAGGAGAGCCTTGCCAGTTCTTGTGACTGTGATTACTAGACTGTGAACGGTAGAGTGAGACAGAGCTGACCTAATAGCCAGATCCCCAAATTTCAGTTTTTTGACATCTATCAAAGGAAACCATCTATTAATTTTTCACAAGGTTATTATGACATAAATAATGTATGAATCACTTAAGAGAATACAAAGTACACAGGGGGTACCCCAATATTTCCTTAATACAGAAGATTCTTGCATTGACTGCCTACACTACTGATCATTCCAAACTCCCTGAATTAATGGATACATTCATTATAATTACAACAAAAGTGATTTATTAAATTGTTTAATATAAGAAAATCAGGAAGAGGGCAACAAAGAAAGACTCCGAGTTCAAATACACATGGGTCTCCTCAGTGATCCACGTGTCTCCATTTCCCTTGTGTATTAGTTACTTTTACATTGCTGTGACAAAATGCTTGACAGAAACAACATAAAGATAGGCCACTTTATTTTTGATCATAGGTTGAGAGGACACAGCCCATCATGGCATGGAAACTCAAGGCTGGAGGCAGTTCCATGGTATCAGGGTTGGATGACCTATTACATGGCTCAGATCAAGAAACAGAGAGCTTGGACTAGGGGTTGAGCCAGCTGATAACCCTTAATCCCCACCCACTACATCACTACATCTGCCATTTAGGCTCCATGCCCAAAGGACTCCACAAACCATGCTATAAGCATCATTCTATGGGGGACATATCCAAACCATAGCAACCTGTATAAAAAATTTTAAGGAGAACAGAGTGAACAAATACACTGTTACAGAGGTCTTGCAACTCCTTGGTATTAGCCTTGTGTCCAGTGAACCCCATAACAGGGATGGTAAGTCCTATCACAGAGGAGCTCTGTTCAGTTAGTGTAGCAATCTGAATTACTCTGTAAATGTGCTCTGAGGACTTACACAGGCTCAAGTAAAATGATGACCAGATCAACTTTCTGTGTTTTCCATTCCCACCAGAGATGGAGAAGTAGCTTGAATACCATGTGCATATTCATCACACAGATAGGCATGTGCATGATGTCTAACATCTTTATATGATATAGGAGAATGGAGGAGGTAGAAAGGAACTTTCTGTTTCTGGCTTGATAATGCTATCAGTGTTAAGCCTCCTTAACTTATTTGAACATTCCCTAAAAAATACTATCATTTAGTCCCATGAAGATGTTCTTTAGAAAACATTTCTGCCTGTCCTTCCCCAAAGTGTCCAAACAACTGAAGTTTTTCCCAGTTTACTGAGGTTTATTATAAAACTTCTTCTAGTAGAATGATTTCCTTTTAAACCATAACTGGTTGTATTTTAGAGATTTCCCTTGAGAGTATTAGAATAGAGAATGGTCTTGACACTGGTCTTTTCATTACAGTCCACTCAGGGAGCTTCCTTTGATTCAGCCTTCATCATTTTCAGGGTTATGCTACTTTAGCACTTTGTAGAATGATAGTAACTTATGTCACATACTAAGATCTGTAACTTATTTAAAGACTTAAAATCTGAAATGATCAGTACACACAAGGAGAGGTATGTTGGTTAGAGATTTGCTTAGAGCAGTTGAAAAGACATAAACTCTACATTTGGACCTTACAGTCTGCTCTGTGAGTTGTTGATCGGCACAGATCTAGCCCACCCAATTGGATTAAACCCTAGAGAGGACGAAAAGCAGGAATGAGTAGTGCTGTTGATGCTTCAAGAAAATAGAATTCAAGTATAGCAGATGGTTTGCAGATTTGCTGTGGCCTCTCGGAGATTTATGTTCTCAGTCTTTCATTTTATTTCACATTCTCTGGCAGTATCTTCACAAATCTCAGGGTCAAGCAGAAAGGTGTTTTAGTTTTCCATTATCTGAAGAAAGTATTACTAGTTTATTTAAACAGCACAGAGAGCTCTGTGCCTTGCTTACTCTTCTGGATCAAATTGTGTTCCTTTCTTGCTTCTTCATATGGCTTTTATAATTCTGTTTCCGTGGCCCATTTCTATGACCAAACCAGTGACAGATATGGTAGTGGATGTTTATGTGCACACATTTCGATATTATTAAATAACTTAAGGGCATATTCTTCCCTGCCACAATCTAAAATCATTTCGCTTTTGAAGACCTTAAACTGCCTTCTGCCAAGTATGCTGTTAATGTATTTATTCAAATGGATGTTTTACATTTAATTCTATTGGGGATTTACTGTGTACCAGACTCTAGATTAAATAAAACTTAGACTGTGAAATAGGCAGTCTAATTTCTCCTTAATGAGGTCTTCCATCTAAAAAAAATTACATTAGAACAGGAAAATCTTTCATATGACTACTTATATTCATGAAATTTGAGTAAAATATAATTTACGCATTTGAAATGCTTTGTGTACTATCACATGATTCTACTGAAGCAGGGTTGGTTTTTTTTTTTTTTTTTTTTTTTTTTTTTTTTTTTTATTTTTTTGTTTTTTTTGGAAAAGGGGTTTCCTGTAGCCCCAGCTGGCCTGGAACTCACTATGTAGACCAGGCTGGTCTCGAACTCACAGAGATCTGTCTGCCTCTGCCTCCCAAATGCTGGCATTAAAGGCATGTGCCACCATGCCTGGCATTACTGAAACATTTTTATATTGGTATTTGCATATAATTATTTTTTCAAAGTAAAAACTATTGATAAAACATAATTAACAATTGGTAGTAAAGATATATACTTTTCTGAAAAATCTGAAAGAAAAAATTTAATATAATTCATTACTATTTTTTGAAATAAATTATTTTTGTTTTTTATAACCTTAGAATTGAACTACCCACTTATCTGTCAAGTTGTATTTCTTCTTCAACTTTTGGTCCTGTGACGGCTCTATGCATTCAAGATCAAAGAGCTTCAAAAAGCTTTAGCATTTCATTCACTAAAGACAAGTCATCGAAAATTTTCCTATCTAAGCAGCAGTGCATGGTGGCACACAGATTGTCTAAAAACAGAATGATCCATCCCCAATTCTTAGGGCTATTTATCAATTTTATACCTAGAATACTTTTTAGAAACCATGCCTAACCATTTAGTGAAATTTACTCTGGTTTAAATGTACAGATACAAAGTTTTATTTTAAAAAAAGTCAAGAGCTGATGATTGTTAGAGTTTTTCAGGGGTTCTGTTTCAGCGCTCCCCTCTCTGCCATCTGCAACTTCAGAGTCAAAAGACCTTATTTGACTCATGCAATAAGGTAGCTGCTTCTCAAAGTTGTCCAAGGAGCATAAAACTTTGAATGGTATTTGTGTGTATTAGTATCCTTTCTCTCCATTACTCAGCTCTCAAAAACTACAGATATAGAAATATGAGGACCGACTATGGCACAAAATCTTATTTGAATCTTCAGTGTATTTAAGAAACGCTTGAAAGTCAGCAGTTCCTAACAATTGGGAACTTATGGACATGAACTGTAATTGGTAGGCATGGTAGAAGAAGTTATAGCCCTGGTAATGCCTGTAGCTGTAACTCAAGGGATGGTATCAGCCTGGCTTGGAACTTCCAGAATATAAATATGGAAAATAAATAAAATACAGTGAATAAATATCTTGTGGTACAAAAATACTATAGGAAAATTGGTGTGATGTCTCTAGATAGAAAGGAGATTTGGGGATTAGTATTACGGCCATGGTACTTTTCAAAGGTGAGAAAATAAAGTCAAGCTATTAATTTATAATTTCAAAGAATGAGAGGAATACATGCAAATTGGTAAACATTTCTAACTTACAGTTTCTATTGCTGGATGTATGACTGCAACCTTAAAGCAGGCCAAAGATCAGGAACTGACAACATGTTTGTTCTTTAAAAGAGTTGTCATTCTTCTGAGCTTTGTCATTGTAGTGAGGCTAACTTTACCTTACATTAAAACTTTAGATTACAATGCAGTCGACATTCCGTGATATGTGCATATTTTAGTGCATGACATTCTATTTTTAAGGACTTTGTAGACTTCCCTTTGCAAATAGCATGCATTTCCTGCCTAATCTTGTGGTACAACATAAGCTGTTCTCTACTTTTAGGCTGTGTCTCGCTGTCTAATATTATCTTTCTTAATTCAACTGGTGATGATTCCAGGTCGTGAAATTGTCACTAAGTTATAAATAATTTCAGTGAATAAATTCTTCTGTGAGCTCCCTCCCTTTTATTTTATTTCTATAAACCAATTTGAATGAACAAAGGATGTCTACCTCCAGTTTATGTTCTCTCTACCTGTTATTTCCATAATGACAGTTCTTTGTGCACAAAAATGAGCATATTTTCAATGCTATTTCTATTTGCTGTTTCACCATTTCTTTAGATGTTTGCACATGTGTCTTTAATCTCTATGTATCTGATTATTACTAGTCACAGTCAATTACACTCAGATCCTTAGTATCTGAGTATAGATATAAAATCATCAGGTAGATTTCACTGGTAATGTTTATCACTTCTACTATTTAACATGAAGTAAATTTTTATGCTTCCTCCTCAAATACATATTTTTTAAAATTTATTTATTAGCCTCCACCCTCCCACACACTGGGGCCCATATACTCTGTCATCCCTGTTACTGTCCATTGTGTTGTCAGCACCCCCAGCCATTCCCCAGTGCTTGTCCGTCTACTAAATCCAGTCAGCCTATCTAGAGAGCCTTGTTTTAGGAAAATCAGCTGTTCCTCATCTAGCAGCAATCAGTTGTCAATATTCCTTTAGATAAGATTGGGGTCTGCTGTTCATTTTCCCAGTTCTATGCTGGGTTACTGTCTGGGAGTCTTTTGGGCCACCCTGGCCAATAACTCAAAGGAAGGTATCTCCTATCTGGCGTTTCTTGTTATGTAGCCTTTAGCTACACATATGGACTCTTAAAAAATTTTATTGACCCCATTAATCTTTAGTTATAGTTTCCCTTTGGGTGTTTAAGACCCCAGAATTGGCCCAGATAAACCAATTTATTTTTACTCTTAAGGTCGTTTATGTGAACATGAAAATTATCCCTGCATTAAAATTATTTTTTTGGGTCTGGAGAGATGACTCAGTGGTTAAGAGCACTGCTCTTACAGAGGACCGAGGTTTGGTTCCCAGCACCCACAAGGAGGTTAACAACTTTAGTTCCAGAGGAATCTGACACCCCCTTCTGACCTCTGCAGGCATTGCATGACATGGGTACACTTACATTTATGCAGGCAATACACTCACATGCATAAAATAAAAATAAATATAATACAAAGAAAATATTTTTAAAAATCATTTTGTCATTATGTTTGAACTCATTCCATTTTCTTCCTTTTATGTAAAATATAAATTTGATCTTCAAATCTACCTAGATTGTAGAAGGGCTCATGGCTTCATGGAAGAATGTAGAAAGTTGCTGCTGAGTAAAATGGCAGTAGATATGATGGCAAGAGAGTCTTGGTCTTAGCCTTGCTGTCCTGTCCTTGCTGTTGCAGTGAAAAGCTAATGGACGAGAAAGTGTGGCATAAACAATATAGTGCCATTTGCTCCTTAGGTACCACACCAGCAACTTTTACTAAGCAGTAGACTCTGTAAAGTAGCCTAGGTTGTGCCTGCTGTTTCTTTCTTTAGAAACCTCTGCCTTAGTTGCCATATAACTGTATTTATGTTTATATTTGTTGAAACTCTTTGATTTACAGTTGGCCTCACTTCATTATAAATACATAGCATAATATTCACTCTAGGGGCCAGGGCCAGGTCAGTATGGAAAGTCCTGCAGAAGGCAAAAGCTAACACAGTGGTAATGATTGTAAACTCAGTAGTGATGGGACCAGCAGCTGAGAATCAAAACCTACTAATACCTACATAAAATTGCTTTAGCGGATCCTGAAATATGTTGTGAAATCTTTCAAAATGTATCAAAAGTAACATTTCTTTTGTTTTACTTTTTTTTTCATTTTTAAGCAACTTATGATGCTTTCTCAAGCTCTACAACTTCAGATGAGACTGGAATAGAGCCCCATACAGGTATGCCCAAATTTTCAATGATGTCTTTGGATCCTAGATGTTCTGATACCTGACAGTTGCCTCTTAGTTTTTCAGAATGAAGAAGTATGCTCACTAGAGCTACAGAAAGTGGTAGCCAACTCCATCTGTGCCCGAGATACAAATCCTACCTCTACTTTCCACCAGGAAATTCTTATTTTCATCATTAAATAAAGGCTGTCACACCAGGGAGGCACAAACAGATGAGGCTGCCATTGGGGAAAGCAACACATTGGCTTCCCCACTTTCTGGTCCAGAATCATTCTAAAACTGTGTTAGATTCCTAAAGAGTATTCTGTAGGGTAGTGGTTCCCAAATGGGGGTGATTTGTATCTCTCCATAGGGGTATTTGGCAGTGCCTAGAGGCACATCTGGTTGTAACTACTGGGGGAAGTATCATTGGCTTCAGCACAGATATTGGAGACACTGCTGTGCACACAGCAGCCTTCCACAATCAAGACTTCTTGGGCCATAATTGTCAATAGTGCTGCGGTGAGAAATCCTGTGCTAGAACAATAATGTTGTTTCTCATAGAAGTTCAGCTACCTGTGCTTTGACATTCACTCACAGATTCACCTGCACTGAATTTAGCTCAATCCAGCAGATCTTTTAAGCAAATGGGTATTAAGCATCCTCTAAACTAGGTGCTGTAGGAGATTCAAAGTAGGACTAGTATCTGCCATAAATAGGTGTCTGATATATGTTTGTATGTGTAGCTCAGCATTGTTTATATTACAATAAATAAAAGTAAATAACTTTAAACCGCAGAAAGAAAGCAAAGAAAATGGAATCCTCATAATGGGTTCAATCAGCATTTTGAAACAAAAGAGAAGAAAGAATTTTTTAAAAAGCAGTTGAAGACAAGTTGAATGTATGAAACTGTTTTATCGTGGTTTTTGGTATTTCAAGGATATATGCTTTTCAGAGTGAAGTCATCTTCATCTTCTAAAGAATCACTGGTTTAAAGTGCTTGCTAGTAAGCCCTCAATCATTCCTGGTATTTTCCTCATAGGAGGCATAATTTATTACTCATAAGTTTGCATTTTATTCCTGGGACCTTCTATTTCTTTTATAAATGTTGACATTTATTCCAACAGCAACAAGTGATCCTATTCTGGACTCTGTCCCACCTAAAACTTCTAGAACTCTTGAACAGCCAAAGGCAACACCGGGTAATGTTTTTAACAGAAAAACTGCATTTGTTTTCCATTATAAACTCTGTAATTCATGTGAATGCCTTTCTTCCAAATGCTCTTTTTTTTTTTTTTTTTGGTCTTTTTGAGACAGGGTCTCCCTATAGCCCCAGCTGTCCTGGAACTCACTATGTAGACCAGGCTGGCCTTGATCTCACAGAGATCCACCTGCTTCTGCCTCCCAGAGTGCTCCCAGAGTGCTGGGATCAAAGGCATGTGGCACCATGCCCGGCTCCAAATGCTCATTTTATCCTGTCTCCTCTAATCATTTATCTCTTTCCTATTTCTGAACATATATGATTAATGTATTTTTATGCAGGTATCTTTTTTTATTCCATTTTATGTGTCTGTCTCCTCTCATACTGAACTGGAAATATATTTTTCTATTGTTAAAGTCGTGAAAAGTTTGGGAACTGCATGGAGACCCTTGTCATTTGCAGCATTCCATGTCATATGCTTGTGGCATGCATCATTTTCGTGCTGAATCTGTCTGGAGTTGGTTATTGAACCAATGTCATTCAAGGTTTCTCTGTGCCTTGAGGTGACTTTGAGCTTTGTCCACCAGCTTCAGAACAACATGCATCTTTTTCATATACTTGTAGCATGCACAGTATACTGTATAAACGCATGTTGAAATTCCTAAACAACCTCATTATAACTGAGATTACCTGGTGGGATGGGTATTTGTGTTTTCAGCACCAAGTAAAGCATCATTTACTCCTCATAAAGTGGAACCCTTCACCAGCCCTGAAACGCAACCTACAACAGCTGGTAACTAATGACATTTATGTAATTGTATGCTTTGAAAGAACAGGTATTGTGACAGAAAAGAATCAGTCATGTTGGCCTTTTCAGAATCTTTTCAGTTCTAAACATTTCCCTTCATTCTTTACCATGAAATTCTTTAAGAAACTGAGTTATCTATTTTTGGTCTTGTTGAGACAGGGTCTCTCTGTAGCCCCAGCTGAACTGGAACTCGCTATGTAGACCAGGCTGGCCTCGAACTTACAGAGATCCGCCTGCCTCTGCCTCCCAAGTGCTGGGATTAAAGGCGTGTGCCACCATGCCCGGTGAGTTATCTATTTCTAGCCTAATGATAAACCTCAAGGAACTGCCATAATCTTGATGCCTGTATACTTTGAAGAACAATTTCCTTTATTGCTTTCAACTTTATTAGCCAGAAAATTACACCAGAAGTATACTTATTTTTAAGTATGTTTCTATCTATTAAGCACATTTAGCTGTGTTTTGATCAGAATAGGTCATCTACAGTAACCTATTAAGAGCACTAAGGAGTCTTCAATCCTGGATATAATGAGGAAAGATGAGAAGAAGGTCACATAGCTCACATTTTATAATAGCAAAGTATTTACATGATACAGTTCATTAATATCTGATGAGGATACTAATGAACTACAAGATGAAGTTCTGAACTTTCCATTCTATAAATCCAAAATAACTTATTTGTGCATCTTCCTTTCCATTTAATGTTGTTTCGGTATTTTTAATTTATCTTATAATCTGAAAGGCCTCCAGGGTGCAGTCTGTCTAACACATTTAAGTGAGCAGCACTCATCAACTGTCATGTAGAAATTTAAGTTCTCTTTCTGTGGAAATATAATTCTTTTGGACCTAGGTAACACTTATGTATTGAGTCTGGACTCTTTATAAAGCATGGAGTTGGCCATCCTAGGGATGCAAGGACATCTGTAGTAGTTCTTACATTCGATGGGGTCATACATGCATGTCTGCAGGCACAGTCTGACTGACCTTTGAGAAGTCTCACTTATCAAAGCTGCATTAACTCTTCTTCTTTCAGCTCCCCAGCAAACCACATCAGTCCCTTCTACGCCTAAACGACGCCCCAGACCCAAAACGCCAAAAATCAGACCCGGTAAATAAATGTCTCTTTAACTTTGAGGATACTTAAATCCAAATAGCTCAAATTAATCTCATTGTAAAAAGAAATTTATTCTATTGGCTAGCTTCTTATAACATTTGAAATTAGAGAACAGTAATACGAAACAGAAATCAAATATCTACAATAAGATTTTTCTGAATTTGGGATAAGCCTAGAAAGAAGTTCTGCTGTAGCCAGGGCTTATAGAGAGAGACATACTGTCCCACTCTGGGCATGTGTCTATACTCAGTGTCTGATGGACTGTGGTACATTTTGGTACCTACCATGGTACTGTAGGTACCTTTTGGTACCTACCATACATTCAGTTTTGCCCCAATGCAGTAGCTGAGATGGAGAGAATATGATTCTGGTTTTCAAGTTGCTTATAATCTTGAGAGGATAATAATGAAATCACAACCTAGGATTGTAAACCTTTGGTCTGTAATGCTTGTGTAGAAATGCCTAGAAAAACTGAGTTGAAGAAATCAGGCTTAAATATGTGTAGGATTTAAGTGGAGGAAAAGGGCAAGGGAACAACATCTATTGCAGTCCAAAGTTTGGATGGATCAAGTAAGCCTGTCAACTTGGAGGTAGTGTTTTCATTGTCAAACAATTCACTCAGAAGCATGCTCCACAAACTGCTTTATTCCATTTATATTTGTAGCACAGATATTTTATCTAAACTATATTGTTGTGATGACTTACATGTTCTTTGCTTCAAATTTTATTTACTGTGTATTTAAGACTGACTACTAAATATGGTAGGATTCTGAAGGGTCATTCTGTTCCACCTTGGAAGATATTTTATTATCTCTACATCAACTTATTTTTTTTTCTTCCTATCACAAGAAAGAACTACAAGTCCTAAAACAATTACTCTAAAATTTCTAAAAGTCCTGAACCTACACATCATACCATATATGTCATTTCATCTTGCCACGGGAACCCAGCACTACAGCTTTTGGTAATGTGTCAGCTACTCTAAAAGGTTCATTTGGACAACACTGAGTATTTCACAGACTGCAGCAATTCTATGACTGTTTCAGTTGTGATCAGCTGACCTTGTAGTTAATGGATCTGAGCTCAGATTCAGATATGGTCTGGGGCCAGCTCTCAAACCACAGTTGGTGCTTTGTCTGTCTAGTCGTATTTAAAGCTGGGCCATATATAGAGTTCTCAGTGCTTTGTAGAAAATTCTTGGAGTTCAGCTGTAGACTTCATTTGAAAGAGTGACTTCTTAATTTTGGTATTATTGAAATTTATGATTTAGATCATAACATGATATACACATTAAAAAGAATCAACAAATTTTAAAAATGTATTATATTTGAGGAGGAAGCATAAAAATTTATGTCATGTTAATTAGTAGAGGTGATAAACATTACGATTGAAATCTACTCGATAACTTTATAGACATACACAGGTGCCAAGGATCCGAGTGCAACCGATTATGACTAGTTATAATCAGATACATACAGATTAGAGACACATGTACCAACATATCAGTGTTATTAGCAAAAACAATGAGTCTTTCTGTAAGAAACAGTGTATTTTAAAATGAAATGGAGATCTTTTTTAAAGGTTAAAAGCTCATTCAATTTTATGTCTTACAGGGCTTATACCGAGTTTAATATTGTATAACTGTATTAATTAAACAGTGAACCTAAAAATTTTATAACCACTTTTGAAAGAGATGTATCTTCTCTGGAAACTGTTATTATGCTAAAGCTGTAATGAAATGCTTCTTCTAAAAAGATAAAATAAAAATAAAACTAGATCTAGCACTAAGCATTAGCATTAAAATACATCCCCTTATAATTGAAACTTAAATTAGCTAATGAATATGAAGTAAGAGTGAAAAATAATTAGCCTGATTTTTTTTTTAAATCGTAAAGTCAATTTTTGCGTAGTTACTATTGAGTGGCAAGACTCTATTTCAAACCACACAAAAGCTTGTAGTATATGTCCATAAGTGTTTTTTTGTGAATGGAGCATGGAATTTTCTTCTAATGAAATAGTTCCAGAATCTTCCAAGATGATAGATTCATTCTGCTTAATTAGTTTTAATTTTAGGTTTAGTTTTTAGTTTAGTTTTAGATTTTCCTTTTGTGGTTTCACAGACCAAAATGTGAGTTTGCCGATTATTTTGTGTTTTATTTTTTAACTCTGAGTAAAACAACACAACTAATTTCTTTAAAACCTAAAGCTTCTCTCATTCTAGAAGTGACACATACCAAACTTACTAATTTCACTGATCTTCATTTTTAATGCTCCATGAGTAAGCCTGGAAAATTGGTTTATGCAACTCTGGTTCAACAAGTTCTGATTTATATGTCAGCCTTTGATGCAATTTTTCCATGGAAAGTGTAAAAATGCCATCAGATAGCTTCATCACAAACTAGGCCTTTTGTTATTATCACAGTGTTGCTCTGAGCTGTGTGGCGAATAATTATGTTCGTGACCATGACAGAGAAAACACAGAAATATAGTCATGAGAGCCATTGAGGATCCCCATCTCTGGAGATACAAAACAGTTTCCAGTACCACAGCTGACTGGAATCCTGACTGGGCTGAAAGACAGCCTTTCAGCTGGAAAGAGGGGAGGTGATTCCTTCTTCTAAGAACTCCGCTTGTTAGAGGGCTTCTCAGTTCTTGGACTACAAGACCAGAAAGGACTCTATTTTTCCAATGTGCCAAAAAGTCTTAATTGGGAATGATTTTTCAACACTGACTTCTGTTTATTTCTCAGGAAGCTTTATCGTGTTTTCCTAAAAACTAGCAGGCTCTGGTAGGCAGGGTTCTTCTCTCTGTATTACTGAAAACAATGCAGTTCCCTGCATAAGAACTGCGGGACATACTGAATGATTCAGTTTCATATTGTTTCTGTCTATCAAGAACTTACACAGCAGTTTTAGATAACGATTCACAAAATTAGCTGTGGGGAACTTTGTCACTGCTTATTGTCATTTTCATCTACGATTTAAACCCTGTAGCTCTTAGGAACACATTCCTCATCATGCTGTGTAGAGGACTCTGAACCTAGATTTCCATTAATGGCTTGTTTACACAGCAGCAGTACTAAAGCAGGACATTTTCTGCTCAAGCGGGCATGATTTATTTTTGCAATGAAGTGAAAAGGAAAAACAAAGCAACTGCTCATAAAAATGAATCTGGATTCTGCCCTTTGAAGGGGCAGCAGATTTCTGTGTGTAGCAAAGTGAAAGAAATGGAGGATTAGACAAGGGGTGTAACTGATCATAGCTGAGGTCTCCAAGCCAGAAGCATAGCTCATCAAAACCAAATGCCTAGTAGTTTACATAAAAGAATTCTGACAGCTGTAGTGAGATAGGATGAATGTATATGAATTTAAAAAACTCTTACAGAAGTTTGGAATGAGGAAATAACTTCTATATTTATGTTGTCCTTTGGGTAGAGAACTGTAACCAGGAAGATCAAGAAATTGTGCTGCATGCTTTGGTTACCAAATTAAGTAACTCTTTCTCCAAAATCATTATTTCTGTTATTTCAAGATAAAATTTGAAAGCATCAAAAATGTCTTTAAATATTGATCAAAGTTTATATGTGATGTACTTTTTGTTACTGCTGTTGTTTGAGACAGTCTCAGTATGTAGCCTGGAATTTGTAGAGAAGACCAGAATAGTTTGGAACTCATAGGGATCTGCCTGCCTCTTCCTCTTGAATGCTGCGATTAAAGGCGTGGCCACTGTGTCTGACCAGTAAATTATATTTTTTATTTTAGTAGTGTGAGAAGAAATTTATTAATATAAATACAGGCTGGATGGTGTGTTGTTACTATTCTATGGTGTTTGAATAGAGACTTTTTAGTTTACATTTCTTTTCAAGAGAAAAACATTTATTTGGAAGCTGATGTGGTTTTGTTCCTTAGATTTCTAAATTTTTCATCACCCTCAGATACTGCTTCAGGTAGCAAATACCTCAGCCTACAAAAAGGAGGCCTTGAGTGACCTAAGCCAGGACAGAGTATTTGCTGGATGGACCTCTGCAAACCAGTTCTTTAATTGTGGCTTTCTGCATGTTATTTTTATTTTAGTTCGGCAGGTTACTGCTTCTAGCTGAGCTTGATGAAAGCACCAAACAATCAAAAGCTCTTTAATGTGCAGAATTCCTTGCTTTTCCCAACTTTCCTTATGACTGTTTTTTCACTTCTCCTTCCATATAAGATGCCTTTCCTTGGTGGTTAAATTAGCTAGTGAAGGTTCACATTAGTTTGGACTTATTTCACAAGTGCTATCCAGTACATTTATGGAAAAAAAAAAAAAAAAAAACCCACAGAGCCACCTCCCATCTCCTGGCTTGTCTACCTCAAACAATAAGAACTGCAGTGTCCTTCATTAACCTTCAAGGTGATAATCACGTGTGGCTCTGCATTATTCCTTACATCCCTTTTTTTTTTTAGGGGATATTTTTGCATTTCTTTTTTTTATTGAGCTTTTTAAATTTCATACATTTCCCACTCAAATCCAGACCCCTTCCCCCCATCCGTGCTCCCCCCTATCCCCCCAATGAACCCTACGCACTCGCACTCTGCCATACATGCTGAGTCCTAGTCATTCAGGTGTTTGTACCCAAATTTCCTCAGTGTAAATGTGCCTGCTGGAGTCTAGACAACCCATCCAGTGGTCCTATGTAAGTCATACTCCCCTCACCCACCCAGCAGCAATCAGTTTCAAATAGTTCTCAATCTAGTGTTGGCCCACCACTCACCTCCCCTTTGGGCCCTTGTTTTCTTTTTGAGTTGTAAAACAAGTCATTGAGTTCCTAGAAAGGTGTTATATAAAATCTATTGTTATAGTATCTTTTCTCAATCACTACCTGCTTCTTCTGAACCTACCACTCTTCCTTGTTCAGAAATATCAGAGTTAATGCTAGACAAAAGTAATTATCTGAAATGCATAAGTGAGAGAAAAATTTAAGTTGATAGCTAATGAGGGCCGTATCAACTAATTTCCATGTGTAAGAAATAACATTTTCTGTGTTAAAAAACAAACAAACAAATAAACATTTAATTTCGTAACTGGAGTCTTCAGCCTTGCTTTGATATTGCTTGCTTTCATTGCAGCCCCAGAATCTCAGACTCTACCGGCATCCCAGTCAACAAAAGGTAAAGGTGCTTCATTTAATCAGAGTAAAAGAATCGCTTGCTTTATCACCTTTGTGTTCAATTTTGTCCTTAGATTTGATTTACTTCAAAATATTTAATTGTTCTTTAGATTTTTTTTTGGCAGGCATTTTGCAAGAATATCAACTCTGACCTGTGCTTGGCTGAACAGAGGCAGCCACCTGTGAAAGCCATATTGGTTTTGGCTTGACCCATTCTTTATTGTCCTGCCTTATATTGGAGAAAAGTTCCCTAGCCTGTTCTAACCTGTTATTTCCAGTGCAGACTCCTGACCTCCCCAGGGCATATTTATGCTTTGCGTTGGGGGGTGCTTTTCTCACTTTGAGAACTCTAACATGTGCAGACTTTCTTGAAAAGTACTCTGATCTTTCCAGATCAAAACACTCCGGATGTGTCACCAGGAAAGGCATTTGAAGATGGAAAAAAAAAATAAAAAATAAAAATAAAGAAAAGAAAAAGAAGAAGAAAGCCAATCTTGATAGCTTCTCTTTCTTCAAAAGTGGGGAAACTCTGTTCTGGTGCCATCTTAGCCCACAGTCCCCCTCTTTTCCTCCCTAACGTGAACTACTGCTTAGTTTAATAAATCCTCATCTTCCAAAGCAGAATCATCCTTGCACCCTTCTTCCCATTTCTTTTTCCAAATTTAACTGGCTACATTTTTCTTATTCACTTTGTCTAAAAACAGGAGTAGATTTCAGTAGAAAAGGCGCTTCTTCTCTAGATAAAATTTTACCATTTATAATTTGCTGAACTTAGAAATTAAAAGTTAAGCACATCCAACATTTAAGTAGACTTTTGTCATTTCCCTTTGATTAGATTCTTTCTTGATAATTTTTCATGCAGTTTCAGGACCCAAAACCTCAAGAACCAAACTTTCTGCAATAACATTAATTGATTATATGGTTATCAAGTGGGTGACCCATTTCTTCTTTTCTTCACAATGGGTTTATCTATCAACAGGTTTATATTTATAGAGTAATACATCAGTGTCCATTTATCTTTATATTCTCTGCTATTCTTGAAAAAAATCCTATAACTATAGTTTATAGGTATGTCTCAATTTAAAAAGCTGTTTGCCTTGGGGCTGGAGAGATTGCTCAGTGGTTAAGAGCACTGGCTGTTCTTTCAGAAGACTCAGGTTTGAATCCCAGTACCCACATTGTGTCTAACAACCATCTGTAACTCCAGTTCCAGGGGATCCAATGCTCTCTTTGCCCACCACAGGCATTACATGACATGGGTGCACTTACATACATGCAGGCATAACACTCATACACATAAAATAAAAATAAGTAAATCAAAAAAGTTGTTTCCCTTGATATAACCTCTGAATTCAAAGACCTTTTAGCCTTATTGTTGAAATGTGAATTTTTTTTTAATGCTATGTAATGCTCCTGCTCTGGAAGTCAAATGAATTTTAATGTTTATCCTTAGTGATTTCTGAAAAATGCCTTCTTCAGGCTCTTGAGTATACAGATTCAAAATTTGTGTCTCCGCTAAGCTATGCAATGTTTTTGAAATTTTTCTTCCACTATCTCAATATGGAAAAAACACAAGGAAATCTTTTGGGAAATTTGTAAATTTTTGACCAAAAACTAAAAAAAGAAAAAAAAGGAAGAGAAAGAAAAAGAAATCAAAACCAAAATAGCTGCAAAAACTAAACCAAACCAAACTTTACACCTCACATAACTGGGTAAATAATGATAGACTGTTGCAAAAGGCTCTAAGATGCTTCTAAATTACATATAATATTTATTCTCAGTAGATAGTGCTACCCTTTCTCTATTAACTTGAAAATTTTCTTTCTTCAGCTCCACCAAAGACCAAACGACCAGGTCGCCGCCGCCCCCATCCTAAAACCACACGTAGTCCAGGAGTACCCAAGTCTAAACCTGGTAAATGTAATGTGTAGGTTCCAATTAATGTAGATAGTGTAGTGGCATCTAGTTCAGTAGCTACCGCCTGCCCAAGTATCTGGGCTTTAGGAAACAGCATGGTTGAGTTTTATACTTGAGTGTTTATACTCACTTTCTACATTTATATTGTATGTAATGCGTTCATATTTCTGTTGTCGGTAAGTGTACACAGTGGAAAGCTGGGTCACTATGTGGATTATTAAAACAAATCTCTTAAAAGTCTCATGTTTGATACATAGGATTGCTGAGGTTTGACACAATTCAGTATTAAAAAAGGGAAAGGGGGTAGATGGGAAAAATAAAAGGGAAAGTACAGTTTGTATAGCACTTCTACCTCAAGGCATTGTTCATTCCACTGGGTGCTATTTTTTTTATATAATTAGTGTTCTTGGTTTTTTGCTTCTATAGCTCTAGAACCGACCACTGTACGACCGGAGCTCTTGGTTTCCACGATTGGTAATTCTGTGCCTTCTGTTGCTTTCTCAGCTTGCCACTTTTGCTCTCCATACTTTCTTCCCTGAGCATGAGTGCAAGTATGCCACCCCATCAAAATAGTAACCCATGCTTCCCTTCGTATATCCTATCTGAATGGGAAGAACCTGAAGACAGGAGATTCTTCCTGGACAATCTGGTGTGCTCATATGGGGAAGGTCTGTGGTCTTAGACATAACTTCCTGATTCCCTGCTGATCCTCTGGCCTTCAATCATGTGTCTGGGTGTTCAGAAAGCCACTTGATTTTTCTCAGGAACATCTGTGCTCATCCTGGAATGAAATCATGGCACACACATTTCTAGTTTCATGACTAAAATTTCATTGCTTTGCTCATCCATCTTGTAAGACTGAAAAGTTGCACATTTCTGTTTCTTTGAGAATAGTTTTGAGTACATTTACATAGCCACTAGCAGATTGTGATCTGGGTCCAGTATAAAACTAGTAGTGGCCATTTGCAACTTGAGAACATTGAAAGTCTCAAGGTGGTTTTATTATTTGTAATAGTAATACTATTAACTATAATTAATTTAATTGTTACTTCTCAGAATTTACTGTTCATCTATGTTTACTCTGAGAAGTTCCCCAGATCAGTAGTTGTGTAACATTATTTCTTGTATATAATATTAAAAGTTTATGGATAACTTTCCAGGTCTCCTCTTAAGTGACTTTTAAATTTTCTTACTATTTTTGTGCCAAAGGAAACCTATCAGCAAAGAAACAAAAATAACATACTTAATTCTTATTTAAATGGTACATTTAGGAAGAAAGTCTTATGATAGTTCTCATTACTTTTACTCAAAGACATATTTTAAGCATTGCCTAAATTTTTCTTTCATGGAAGACTGCTGATACAAGTGCATAGTTAAAAGAAACATCTTCCCCCCCCTGTTCTATATCCCTTAATTTTGACAGTTATAGCATGATCATTATACTCAGTATCATTATAATAATTTGTAATACCTTTTCCTTTAGCACAAAAATCATCCCAGAGACCTAAAGCCATGCCCAGACCAGAAGTACTCCAAGTCCAGCCTGGTAATCAACACCTTAAACACCTTGGCACATCAATAAGAGAACTATGTATAAGTAACATTGTCTTGACACAGCTCAGCTGTGACACTAATTACAGCACCTTTTTTCTTCAGATCCAAAACCACCAAAGCAGTTGCTTCCTAAGCCCCAAACCACAGCACCTGACATGCCACCAGCTAAATCCGGTAAACATAATTCCAAGTGCCCTCATTTAACAAGTTTTTTCCCCTCTGGAAATATCATTGGAAGTTTTTACATATTAGACAAGTCATAAAACCCAAATATCATTTGTTGTTCATCTTCTGAAAGTAGCCACACTGATATGTTAATTGCTAAATGAAGAAACTGTAAATTAAGAAATGTAAGAAGTGAGTAAATTTTACACCTGATTGTCCAATATATTCCATTTTCTTAATGTATTTTTAGACCTTACTTTCTAAATTTATAATGAATACAGGTTTGATTTTTCTGTACCTAGGACATTTAAAAATGACTTTGGTGCCATTTTTAGATAGTTCAAAGAGACGGGGGCATTTGTTCTTTACTAGGCACAACCGAAGAAAGACTTGCTAAGGACTGGCAAATAAAGAAAAGTATCTATTGACATTTTAAATAGTAATTATTAACTGAGTGATTTTCTACCACATAAAAAATATATAACAAAATTCTGCTGCTATACAACTGACGTTTTCTCCTAAGATTCCAATCAGTATGGAGCACTACTTTGCTAAATCGATGTAGAATAAACTATGCTCTGTATCCTCTGAATTAAACCTTATAAGTACCTAAAAGTTACTTTATTTTCTTTTTCTGTCTATTTTTTATGGTGAAGTCTATGAGCCTGTAACATCTGAAACAGAAGCTCCTTCTATAACTATAGGTAACAATGCCTTCTTGGTTCATGTTTCCCTGAGCTGTCTTCTCACATCTCTTTCATCATTACCATATTTTCTGTACAACTATCGTTCAACCCTTTTAAATTTTTTCTAAAACCTATTTGCTATTTTGACAGAGGCCATTTTAGCATCATTATACACACTCTTGCATCTGCTCATCTTTTAATATCTGGATGTTATTCTTTGATGATCAGAGTCATTCAGATTGCTTGATATTGTCAAAAGCCATGAAGACTCTGACCATTCATCTTTCAAAGGAGGAATTTCCTGAACTATCTGCTTGCATATATGTAAATATGGATATGTGAGGGAGCAAGGAGAGCTGGTTGGACCTTGTGGTGGTGACTCATCATTGTCTTGCTTGAGTCCATGTTATTCAAATGCAAGTGGACTTTTCTGTTGATTAATTCATCATGTGTCAAGAAGTTCAAACAAAGCAGGAATTCTCTATTTTTGTTTGAAGGCCATCAGTTATAGCTTCCTCCATCTCTTCCATATGTCATGAACTTGGAAAACGCTCTCAGATGAGTCTTATTCCAGCTTCATGCTCTGGTGCCTGAACAATCAGGGCAAATCAGTCTCTTGCTTAGAGGATTTGTGGTTATGAGAAATTTTAAGGTTTCATGTAAGCTCTTAGACTAAATGAGAAAGGAGAAACTAATTTAATACCAGCATTGGAATTCTTAATTTCATTTCTACGCAGAATCATTCTACTTTTAGAAATCCTATATTTCAAAACCAAAATTTGCATTATTTCATTTTTCTTAATTGTCTTTATTCTTTTGTGGGAGAGAGTTTGCTGGGTATTGAAACTAGGGCTCTATGCATGCTACACAAGTGATCTATTACTAAGCTATACCCTCAGTGTTTCATCTGTGTTCATACTTTGGGTGATTATATACAAATTGTCTATTTGAGATAAGCAACTAAGGAAAAATAGTAAATAACAAACAGCATTGCTTCTTGTTCACTGTGAAGAAAGCAGGCATTTACATTTGTACAACTATCACAATCTTCAGCAAATAGACTGGTTGATGTTTTTTGAATTTTTTTCATAATCATCAGTCCTCAAAAGAAAAATAATTATAGAGAATGCTTTTGAAATACAACAGAGGCTTTCATAATTGTTTCTGAGTAGTTTAAAATAACATGTCAGACAACAAAGAGATTTTCTTGGAGCCAAATGGCCAGAATAGGTAGAATCAGATAATCACACATGGAAAAATACCTTTCATTAACTTCAAGCTATTCCAGATTATTTAAATGGTATGTCTACTTTTCAAGATATGCAGGCGTAGAATATGACCAGTTGCTGGTGATAATAGACACTATTTCCCAGAGTTCTCAGCACTTTTGAAACATTAAAGTCTTAAAAAGATTCATTTTTAAGATAAATTTCCTAATGTTTTACATTTCTTAATTTCTGTCATTTATTGCTTTTGGTCAGTTCCTACCACAGACATTGCACATGTAATTAAGAGAACCGAGGCGCCAGTGACAACATTAGGTAATGATCTTCTTGTGCATTTTCTCCTTATTGTTTGTTCCATCACTATCTGGGTCAAAGAGATTTTTCTTACATAAAATTTTCTCATCTTCTTGTCATTCAGCTATATTTCTCATTCTGAAAATGTTGATTACACTTAAAACATGTTCCTAAGTGATAGACCTCTATGTAGCTCCTGCAGGTGATCTGTCTCCCTTATTATCTAACTCAGTGAATACTTTACAGAGTCCATGGGTCTACTCTAGGTTAAAGCTAAATTCCCAAACACTTAGGAGTACCTACCTCTTAAACATCAACTACAGTTAAGTTCTGCTTTTATAAATATGTGCAGGACTTTTGTTACATGCTACCAGTTTTAGGAAATATAGTATGCATATTGTACTAATAATTTTATATGCCTAAATTGGATCTTTCTAAGGACAGTCATTGAAAAGCAGCATGATCTGATTCTCTCACTGATGTTTTATTACCATACCACGCATCTAACTCCCTTTGTGCCTGTACCTCTTTGATGCTAGTAACTAAAATGTTTTCAGATAAACAAAAATAATGTCATTCAGTCTGTCTTTCTCAAAATCCAAAGAAAGCAAAACCAAAACAAAAGGTTTTACATATATATATATATATGACCAAAAAATAATTTCAAGCCAGAGACCATTTCTTCAGACTCAAGAAGTCTAAGATTTCAGAAGTCCCACAATTATGTGTAAATTGTTCTTTAGTTTTGGAGTCATACATTTATAATAACCAGTTTCCTTTCTCTAGCTCCAAAAATATCACGACCAAGAACTCGCCGTCCACGTCCCAAACCCAAAACCACTCCAAGCCCAAAGATACCTCAGACTAAACCAGGTAAATAATATGTGGATCTTGGTTCCTGTGGCTCCTCATGGATGTGACACAGGTGCCAGTTCAACTTGCTCCCTAGTAACCTCTGTGACCATTTAGGGTAAAGGCTCAAGTCAAGGGAAGCAGCTGCCAGCAACACTGCTTTTGCCAATCCCTTTAGCTTCCACAGGTTGCTTGCATGAGTAATTCCTTGGAGTCTGTATATTTTTTTCTGTCTTTTTTCTAATATTTTCAGTTATTTTCAGTTACATCTTGCTATTTGATTTTAGAGTAGCAAAACCCAACCTAACTAGCATATTTAATTCAAGAGTCACACATTTTACCAAATGCCTTTGCATTAGCATCTGTGGAGGTTACTTAGAAGTGATAAGTGACTTAGCTGAAAAAAAGAGGCAGCTATTGTTCATAAATATATATAAGGAATGTGAGAGATAACAAATAGTCATTGTGTTACCAACTGTTACACAGGCTGTTAACTCTTAAAGAGGTGAAAATGTAAGCATGGGGTGATATGTATAAGAGGGATCTGAAGTTTTGGGCATTTGTAGATTTGGTATCAGGAAATGGCATGAATCCTACAGAGGGAGGAAGGTGCCAAGTGTGTGGCAACAGGATATAGGAGTTAGACTTTCAGCCTGAGTGTGAGAAAGGCAGTATTTGCTTAGCTGGAAAATAATGCTCTTTGGAAGAGCCACAAAGAAGCCGTTAGATGCTAAATTCAGTGATTGGATCTGAGCCAACTGGCATGTACCCCTGCCCTTCAGAGTTGGTTCTTCTCTGTCCTGATAACAGAAAGATACAGTAACGAGGTCCATGGACTGATGACTCACCAGGTCTAGCTCTTTGTTTGCCTTTGTTTGAATGGAGGCAGCTGCTTAACTGTATCAACAGTCACATTTATCATGACCCGAGGATTTGTTTTTCAGTATCTAGTATTATAAATTATGCTTTCACATTAATTTATCATAATTATTAGATAGAATATTAGATACACATTTTTCTTAGTTTTCTGTTGCATTATCAGATAATGTAAAAACAAGAAAAACCTGCAGAAAACTACCTGAAAAAATAAGTGAAACTTGTTAACTATGTACATGTGTAAGAAGATAGCTATGTCATGAAAATAATTATCTATGGAATTTCACTTAAGGTTTGGGGGGTTTGACTATAATACTAATGCCAGCCTGGTAATGTTCATTTTCAAGAGCATTTGATGGATTTTTCTCCGTGTTTAACATTTTCTTGTTTTAAACCGCTTTTGGTCATTTCTCACACTAGCCTTTGGACCTGTTACTCCTGAGTCATCTTTAGGTAATGATTCTTTTTATCTTTCTGCAAGTGCTCTTTCTTGTTCCTTCTCCAGTTTTGCTGTGGTGCTAAGTACTGATGGTGCTGACCTCTGTTGTCATCCTGTTGCAGGACTCACCTTAAAAAAATTGAAGGTTTCTTAACTTTTTAACAAAGAGGTGCCTTGACTTAATTCAAGACATCTGCCCCATCCCATCTTGATGTTATGGCATGCCAATAATCTGAGTCTCTTTAACAGTACTGTTTGTTATGATACCTGCCCCTCCTTTAGACCACTAATGCAGTGGCCTAACAGTTCACTTTCTAGATTTCAAGTTCTAAACAACAAGTTTTGGCTTTGCTGTTGTTTCAGTGACTTTTTTGAAAATATTTTATTTATTATTTTTTATATACATATATTGCCTGCATGTGTGTAAGTGCACCCATGTTGTACAATACCTGCGGAGGTCAGAAGAGGGTGTTGGATTCTCTGGAACTGGAGTTACTGACAATCGTTGGCCACCATGTGGGTGCTGGGAATCAAACTTGGGTCCTCTGCAAGAGCAGTCAGTGCTCTTAACTGCTGAGCCATCTCTCCAGTCCCCCAAGGACTTTTTAAAGAGTTTATTCTATTCTTTAAAATGTGGTCAGTTGTGGCCTTCTGTGTGCATCACACTCTTGTATAAGGAAGTTTTACTGCTGAGAACTGAGGGATGCATCAGTTTTCTCTCTACTCCTTATTCTGCCATGTTCCATGAGCTTTAGCTGTAGAGGTTCAGCTGTAGATGTGTCACCTAGTACTGGGCAGACACATTTACATAGCTTATTCTAGTAAATACCAAGTGGATAATTTGCCCAGGCACAGTCATCTTAGATTATAAGCATTACTGTAGGGTTGATTCAAGCCTCTTTCTCATCATTAGAGTTGAATAGTGATTTATAATCAGTTTTAAGTTAGACACATGTTTAAGAAAACAGTAGCTCCCAACTTCCTTCCTTCCTTCCTTCCTTCCTTCCTTCCTTCCTTCCTTCCTTCCTTCCCTCCCTCCCTCTCTCTTTCTTCCTTCCTTTCCTTCTCTCTTTCTCTCTTTCTTTCTTTTCCTTTTTTTAGGACAGGTTCTCACTATCACTATGTGCCCAGGCTGGCCTGGAACTCACTATGTAAATCAGGCTGGCCTCACAGAGATCCACCTGCCTCTGCCTCTGCTGAGGTTAAAAGTGTGTGTGCCACCACATCAGGGTTTCAATTTTTATTTCTTAAACATAATTGTATATGTAAGTGTTGTCTCCAGGGGCTTCTCAATTATTCAAGAAAACCTGTTCATATACTAAAGGAGGAAATTAAAAATCTGGTGACAGTTTTTCTCAACTCAAACTACTCAAGTTTTAGAAAACGTAGACATATCATCCTAGGCAGAATTTATGGAACTGTCAACACCATGTTAATTCTAAATTTTCTTCCATCAGCTCCATCAACAAAAAGAATACATCCTCCACATCCCAAACCTAAAACCATACCTGATCCAGAAGTACCACAGATAATATTGGGTAAATATGTGGTTGCAGTTTATTCTATGTTAGGACATGTATTGTATCTCTCTTAAGAGTAAAAACTGCTGGTTATCAAAGATAATATGGCATGGCTAAGCACCTTATTACATCCTTCTTAGGAAGATTCTCTGTCAATGACCACTTTATTTAATTTTCTTACTGCCTGATTATATTCATATCCTAAAGACAGGATCGCTTAGTATAGACTTGAGCCAATATAATCAGTTCAAATCAAATACCTTCATTAAGCAGTTATCCTAAACTGTATGAGCCCATAGCTCAGAAGTAGGAGGCATGTTTTGTATAGCAATGAGTTTGCAATGTAGTGGTAAACAAAAGCTATTCCTGTGTAAACAGAAAGTTTTATAAGACAGAATATTTCTGCAAGCATAAAATAATTTGAGTGATACAAATACTACATACTAGGGACTTGGTTAATATTAAGAGAAATAAAAATATCCAAGATATATAGTAAGAAATTAGCACAGAATTTGAAGAATGGAGGAATGAAGGAACAAAGGCTGATGCACAAGGAACTTGTTAAAGCTGAAGACAGAGGATAACGTATTGATGCTCTCCTCTCAGAAGGGCTCACAAATGAATTAAAGAGCTTGGGTTAGGGGTGGCTGAAAGCTTAAAATTGATCCTATGGAATTTAATGGATCCTACTTCTGCACAGGATCTTGTTTTTTCCATTCTTAGACCTTAAGATACCCACCCTAATGAGGAATGAGAAGGAGAGGTGGTTCTTCATCTTGTTAAGTAACAGTGTATTCAGGAGGCACTGCATCTCTTTGTTGGTTTTTATATGTATGAGTTAAGTGTACCACTCATACCAGATGCGTGTACTGTACACAGAGGCCAGAAGAGGGCATCAGATCCCCATAACTGGAATTACAGATGCTTGTTAGCTGCCATGTGGGTGCTGGGAACTGCACCTGCGTTCCCTGTAAGAGCAGCCAAGACCAGGCAGTACTTTGAATGGCTGAGCCATCTCTGCAGCCCATTTGTTTTGAGTTGGAGTCTCACTCTGTAGTCCTGGCTGGCCAGAACTCATTAGGCAGAGCAGGCTGGTCTTGAATTGATAGAGATTTGCCTGCCTTTGTCTCCCTGGTGGCATGTGTCACTACCCTGATCCAGTACTTAATGAGCGTGGTCTCACTTATCTTTTAATGAATGTGGCCTCAACTTCCTTGTGGCTATGAATATATGTCATTGACGAACTGTGATCTCAACACTTCCCTACCTTTTCCCTCTTCATTCTTACCCTCCATCTCCATGTCAATCTGTCTTGTTTTAGGATAGAAGGTACACTTAAGGGTTACATCCTATATCCTTTACTTTTTTGTTGTTAACTGCAAGTCTCAGGTATGGCACATACTCAAGAACATGGAACGTTGTCTGTATCAACACAATAGTGTTAATAGCGAGAATAGAACTACCAGGGCTCACCATAGGGTCTGTCTGCATTACATTTATTTTCAGATATCTGAAATGTTTAATGCATTAGTCATCATTAGTTACTATGGTTTATAGTGGATGCCTTTTCTGAACTTGCCTTCTACAAAAGTGCTGGCTGTCTTTCCATCTTTTTCTAATAATGAATCGGATTTTCCACATAGGTGCTCATGTTAGTTAAAATCAAATAATTACTCAGCTGTGAGATTCTAATGTCAGTCTCAAGGAAATGTTCACGAGTCCAAAAGCTGTGACTAACCTCTGAATTAAATGAGTGTGGTGAACATTTGGAGAAGTATTTGAAGAAAAAAGGATACGTTTACCATCTCCTGAGTTAAGACTATTAAAAATTTGCTGGACCAAGGCTGGACTGGTTGGCTGGGAAGAGTGGCTGGATACTCAGGTGAGGGTCCAGTGATCCTGCTTGGCACTCCTTGAATGAATGAGCACAACCATCAACAAGCCCAATTGTGACTATGTTTAGTGATCAGGCCCAATAGAGGGATGCTTTTGGAAGCCCTTGTCAAGAAATTCCAATGGATTCTCATATGAACATTTAAAAATTGCCCTGTTCTAATTTTTTTTCTGATTCCCTGTCTAGAACTTGTAATGATAATTACTCTTGCCTTTACTTCTCCTTCACATCTCCTATTCATGAATCAAGGACTTTCTTTTCCACTTAGAGACAAGAGTTATGCAATTTGGGAGTCTTTTAGATACACCCACAGAAGGGGTACTCCAATTGCCTCACCTTGTGTCCCTGTTCACCATGGAAGAAGCCAGAGCAGTCTGTATCCCTATTCCCTATTGGCAATTTGAGTAACCCCTTCAGAGGATGGTGTGATAAGAATAGGAGGTAGGAATTGTCTAGGCATAGGGTAAAAAGACCCCAAAGAAATGTAACATGTTTCTTGGCTAAAAGTCAAAATGTCCTTGGTCCTGTTAACAACATACTCTCTTCCAAAGGCCAAAAATGTCAAAAGTATTTGGGAGCTTGTATCTAACCTTTAAGAGATTTTAGAGTTACCTCTTCAGAGGGGGGGGATGTTGGAAGGGAGGGAGTAGGCATGGATTTGATCAAAACACCTTGTATGTGTGTATAAAATTCTCAAAGTTTTTGTAAAAGTTAAAAAAAGAATATTAAAAATTAACTTTGCAGTCCTAGAGATCTTTATTTTTACTTGTAAGATGAATTTTCAGACATTCCCATGTGTTCATAAAGTCTCTTTGGATTCTTTTATTCTTTTGATCAGTTCCTGCCACAATCCTTGAACGAGTTATCCCTAGAACTGAGACTCCTGGGACAACGTTAGGTAATGGTATACCATGCCCATCAGCATCTTCATTTCCTGCCCATTTTATCACCATCATTCTTCACAAGGCTTCTGTATCCTCTGGTCATTCAATTAGTCAATGAGTTGAAGAATGTTAACTCAAGTTCTTGTTTTTGAGCGAGCCAATTTTTTGGTAGAAACACCAAAATTTATATACATTATAACACCTTTGAATTTATGCTGCTTCTGATTTTGTATATCATGTTAGCCACATTTACACATTTGTTCCTGAGTATCAAGCACAAACAGCGTAGTGTGCATAGGAGCGTCAGCTAGTACAATGCAACTTTTCTTTTAGATCATGATGAAATCTTGCTTTAGTAAGGATGAAAATAGAAAATACACTCACAGCTAGTAAATGGAAGTTAAAAGTACTATCATTAGCATGAAATCACCCCCACATACCCCAGTAAGCAGCTTAACTCAGCAAGGTTCTAGAACTTTTCTTCATTCAGGAATCTGTATGAGAACCTCCTGGAGACATTTTTGATATATTAACTCATGTTTCTTCATGAATTTTGTTTTTAGAAAAATGTAAATGACATAAAGAAGCACATTGTGAAAACGGGGGCAATATTTCAAAGCGCAAAAGAAAAATTTCTTGAAACTCAAGAAATTAAAGCAAATATGTTCCCACACACACTTTTTAAAATCTGAAATGTTGTTTTAACCATAGGTTTTCTTCCTTCAGCTCCCAAAGTGCCTCAACGAACTGTTCATCCTTCTCCCAAACCTAAACCCGCATGGAGTCCTGAAGCACCTCACACAGACCTGGGTAAATGTGTAGGGCTTGGTTAAGGAATGCTGGCAGCCCATCCCAATGGGTCCCACAGACAGCACAATTGCAAGTCAGGGTCAGTGGCTCAGACCAGGAAAGTGGGAGATCCTATACTAGCTGAATTTCTTATGCAGTGTGAGTAGAATTTTTCCTGCAATGTTTGTTTACTTTTTGTTAATGCAAGTGAGTCAGTAAGCATCTAGGATAGGCAACAGCAAGTGCTTTCTATTTGGTGCTGGAGAGTAGATACGTCATGCATGGGGGAACACACAGTCTCTGTTGCATGTTTTTGTTGTTTCTCCCTACTATTTATAAACATGAAAATAATTCTTAGGGGGAACATAACCATAAGGGGAAGCTAATGAAGGAGTTCAGAGGGAGAGAATGCATGAGAGCCAGTCAGGGGAAGCAATTTTTCTCAGATTTCCTCTATGAGACTTCAAGATGAACTGTTTTAATGATGCTGCTGTAGCTTAATGGCCTATAGAAGCACTTGAGAAGTTTCAAATGTCAGACTTAGGAGCTTCTATTATATCTGAGAATCCATTTATGGATTCCATACTTTCTCTGGATGTTGGACAGATACATTGGTATGCCACAGACTGTCTATTCTTTTCAGTGCCCCTTAAGTACTCAAGTTGGACAAGGCATGGGGATGTTTCCAAAAATATCTTTGCACTAAGGTAGATTTGGTCTTTGTATTAGTCAGCTTTGTGTGACTATAACAAAATGCCTGACATAGGCTACTTACAAAGGAGAAGTTCATCTAGTTCACATACTTGGGAACTGAGAGTCCAGTGGCACAGTACAGGCTCTATAAGGGCTGTTGCCTGCTTGTATCTCTTCATGGTAGTTAGCAGTGGTGTGTATGCATGCAAGAACTAGAAAAGGATTACATCTCAAGTCAGGCAGAGAAGACTGGAAGAGCCAGGCCTACTCTTTCACATTATCTTCTCTGGAGAGCTCAAGGGGTCGCACAAGACCTACCAAAGGGTTGTGCAACCTATCTCATATCCTCAGTGACCTAAGGACCTCTCGCTAGACCCCATTCTCCAAAGGTGCCACACCTCCCAACAGTAACTATAGACTGAGCTTTTAATCATATTGGATGCTCAGGGACACAAAACATATTCAAACCATAGATAGCTGTTTTGATATATTACATAGCCTCAGATCATTAAAGAATGAGGAAAATTTGAAGCCACTTTACACAGCCAGTACCTAAGTACAAAGGTTATGGTGAACCCTCCAAAGAGATAATTTGGCATCCAAACAGAGACACCATGTACTGTTAGCTCAGAAAGTTAACCATTTTACTTTATGCTTTATACGTGTTATTTTTCTGGTAGAATTCTTTTTAAATGAATATTCTGGGTTTTTATAAATTTTAATGTTTGGGTTTTTGTTCCTTTTGGCCAGTCCCTACT